ACACACACACACACACACACACACACGCACACACATGTTAAGTGAAACATTTCACTTTCGTTACGGCGGCCAAAAGCGAGCATCAATTTGGCAATAATTGGATATTTTAATAAGCCCATTTGCTACTTTCTTTTGGCCCTGAATGCAAATCGAAATTGAAATGCAGCTAACGCCCCATGCCCAACGGTTGCTCTTGCTCTTGTCGCCCTTGTTGTTGTTGCTGTTGTTGTTGTCGTCGTTGTTGTTGTTGTTGCTGTTCAATTGTATGGCAACAATTTGTATTTTGTGAAACAATGTGGAGGCGCCTCGGCTTGTGGATTGTGGCTGTAAAAATCTCTCAGCGCCATAAATCTGCGCCTGGTCACGTAAAATTCGTTTTCGTTTTCGTTTTCACTTTCGTTCGAATTCAAAGTTTGTTTTGCGTTTGGTATTTTTTCCAAGCCCCACCCCCGTCGAATAGAAATATGCATTGTTTTTTCATATATTTTTTTTGTTGGTCTCTTATTTATTTGCATATATTTTTTCTCAAATACCAAATTGTTTCTTAACGAGCTCTGTTTGCTTTTTATTTCTTTGCGTGCGGCCCGGCATCATTTGCATTTGGTTTTAGTTAATTTCAGTTTTTTCAGTTTAGCGACATTTGCTAAAAATGATCAAATTACGTATATTTTTTTTATTTGTTTTTTTTTTTTGTTTTTAATTGATGGCATTAAAATGATGAGTTCACTTCGCAATTTGGCAGAGCGATTGGCCCCGACTCAAGAGACAGGAGAGACAGAGGGACAAAAAGACAGCTGCGAGTGCATTTCGACGGGCAATCAAGACAAAAGCTTTCTCAATATTATTATTATTTAGTTGAGGTCATAAGATATCTGGGATTTTTTTTGTGAAAACGCGAGAAAGCTCTATAATGATGGAGGCGTTATAAGCATGGCCTAAAAATTGCCTATGTTAGGCGTATTCTTTCATTTAAGCTTTCAGTTAAGCTTCAAGAAAGTTGACAAGAAGATTTCACTTATCAACAATTTAATAGTCTTTGATTTTCCAATACTCTTGTCGATCGATTCAACAAGTTGCCAGAATGGGTAAACAAAATAATGAAATTCATATTTGTATATCAATCGCTTACTGTTTATTTACAAGCCACATTGCAATTCTATCCACCTGTTAAATATAAATCTACTATTTAACGGACAAATCCAAACATATTTTAAACTAGGCTTAATGTTTTTTTTTTCTACGAAAGCAGCTTTAAATATTTATTGTATTTTTTCTTGGGAAGTATGGTAGTACTTGATGCAAGAATCAATTACGTTTATATGCAAGTTGATATGAACTTGCGTCAATATAAATAAAAGCTAGATTGAAAGTCAAGCCCTTTTTATATGAAGAGCAAATTAGGCCTAATTTAATACTATGTCAGATTATTTTCAAATTGGACACAAATGTCATTTAAGTATCGAGGGTTTTAACTTGAGGCTTATTTTAATGCAAGCCCGTTCTGTTTTTATTTGGGGATTAATTGGGATTAAAGCATGACAGAAACAACTCCATTCAAGTTTTTTTTCGCTCTTGAAATGTTCCACTTTAATAAGAATTGCCTTATTGAAAAAACCGTAGTTTGAAATATAAAATTCGTTATTTTTCATGTCTGTAAAGTCCAAATTAAGTTTGAAATGCCAAAATGCAAAGATTTAAACTAGTAAATATACATTTATTTATATATATTTGATGATTTAGTTTGCAATAAATATTTATTTAACAGCAAATAAAATCGCGACTTGGCAGGCAAATCTTTCAAAATGTTGTTTCCAATATAATAAGGAACTTTTGCTGGTTGTACAAAACTAGTCATAATTCAGATATATACACACACACATGCATACATATGTCTTATAAGCTATCCATTAAGCTTATGTTAAAAAAAGCGAATACTAAACATTTTTGAATGGACGTTTATCTGTGAAACACTTATGGCACCTGCACATAAATAATAACGTCGAATTGGCGTTGTTGGCCTTGAAGAGCAAATCAATATTATAATTATTGGAAACTGTGTAGACCGAAGACCGAGGGGGATTGTTGAAACAATCGATTGCATAATTTTCAAGAAACCAAAAGCCAAATGCCAAAAGCAAACAAATATGTATTATAATAATAAAGAGCGGCTAACGCGCTAATTATGCGCATCTACAAAAAGTCAAACATTTTTTTTGTTCGACGGAGTCAAAGGGGGAGGGGAGTGGGGGGGGGGGGGGGGTGGTCGTAGAGGTTACAAAAACCCGTCGAGTTTGGGGGCTTTTGTCTTTCGATGGACAAGACAACTGCGAAAACGAGTCGAGCGGCCATTAAAATATAATTTAGATAATTTACGTTTATGTTTAGGATTTTCTTCTGTTTTTTTTTTTTGTTTTTCGTTTAAGTATGTTGTTGTGCGTGTCTCGGCCATTTAGTCGAATTTTGGCTTAGCTCATTGACGAAATCATATAAAAATGAAAGCTCGCATAATGACTGTGCGCCACGCCCACATTGATAACTAGCACAGTTTAATTTAGGTAACAATTTTCATATATGTATATTAAGCTCGCAGGTAATTTACGAATTATGAGTAGATAAACCGAATAACGACACCCTGTACCACATGTGTATTTAATTGATTTCGCCAACAAAAAAAAGCAACAATAAGCGCTAACAGCATTGGCAAAATAAGCGAATCATCGTTACAGATACAGATACAAGCCGAAAGATACAAAGTCATCAAGATACATATGTATCTGTGTGTCTATTTTGTCGATGACTCGACAGTTTGCGAGCAATGCGTAAATAATGCAATTTCAATAACACTGCAATTGGGGCTGCTTATTGTTGAATGCTCTGGCTGTTGCTCAATCGGCTTTCAGGCCAAAAAAATGGGTCAGTCAGTCGATTGAAGCGTGCCAGGGCCAGAGCTGACCCTGATTGATTGAGAACTTTCGCGAAAGAAAGCCAAATAGAAATCAAAAGTAACTACTAGCAACTGCACTTAGTCAGGCCTTGGGGCCCATTTAAGCTGGCATTTATCGCGTCGTTTTATCTACAACTCGAGCCATCTAGTATTGCAAGCGTCTACTTCCGCCAGACCCAAAAGCGGGCGACACCAAAAACTTTCCCAACTTTTGGAGCTGTGTCTTGTGCTTGTTTATGGAAATTCTGATTCGATGCCATATTGGAGTTGCCCCGAAAGGCTTTCTGTGGCGGGGCAGCATATTAAGCCACTTAACGGTAAATTAAAGCAACAACAACAACGAAAACAACGACAACGACAACAACACGTTCTGTAAATAGACAGCAAAGTGTTAATTTTTTGATTTAAGTCTCGACGAATGATTTATTAGTTGGTCAAACTTTCAGCGAGCTCTTGTTGTAGTTGTTGTTGCTGTTGCTATGAATCAGTTTTGGAAACAAGAACAACAACAAACAATCAACAAAAACAAAACAGAAACAGAAACAACAACAACATCTGGACAAGCCTGGCTTTCACATAGCCCAAAACGTGACTCAATCTGGGGGTGTAGACTGTTAATTGAAGACTGCAGACTGAAGATTTCAAGCAGCAGACACTCACTAATACATATGCATTGCATAATGTGTGTGTGTGAGTGTGCGTGTGTGTGTGTGTGTGTGTGCGTGTGTGGGGGGAAGTCAGCGACCCAAACAGACACCCACGCAACTCACTGACAGCCGCAGACAAAAGTTAAACACACAAAAGCCAACTTTCTCAATGAATCTCATGAAGCAAAGACAAAAAAATACCCACTCTTCTTTTTTCTTTTTGGATTTTGAATATTTTGAATATCCATAGCCGCATGTGAATGCACTCATTCATTGCTAACTCACGATTCAAAGTGACTCTATGAGCACTCAATTCTCAATTCTGTAAAATTGCCAGAGAGTTCTCAAAAGTATGCTACATTTAGAGTACAGATATAACACTAAAGGATCCCTAGTTTCAGAGCTCTGGAATGTTGTTATACTCTATAGTTAAAAGCAAGTATTTGCCGATCTAAAATCTGGCGATAAAATTGCTTGATGCATTTGGAAATACTACGTGGAATAATCGAACTCGACAATCAATAAGATTGTGTCGTCTTTTTTTTAAAAACAGGTTGCCTTGAAGTGTTTAGAAAAAAAAGCAGAAAAACGAGTCAAGCTCCCCACAGCGTATAATCGATAATAATCGATTTTATATGTAAGCACATTAAGTCTTCAAGCCAGGTATTAACCGAACCGGTTCAATCAACCGAATCAAACCATATTTTATTCCATTCTTGTTTCTTGAAAACAAGCAAATATTTGTTTCTTTCGATGTTTACTTTAAATCTGACACATAAACAAATTTTAGTTTACAAAAATATGTAAATACAATAAATTGAATTGATATTTTTGAAATTTGGAATGTGAAGCAAGGTTGGAACCTGAAGAAGAGACATTGGAACGAACCGTGAACCGAATCACCAATTTCCAAGTTCCTTTGAGATTGAATTTCAGAAATTGATAGAAATATCTCAAGAAACATGCAAATCAATGTAATATTAATACAAATTTGTGATTTCCTCTTGACTGAACAAAACTTCATCTTCAGATTGAATTTCTTATCTTAGTTTGGGATACAGGTAATCCTAAAGTACAATTAAAATAGTCAACTAAGTTCCTAAACAACAGAAGATATTAAGTGAATAAATTGACTGAACATATAATAGAATGAGCAGAATTGCAAAAGTATGAAAAAAGCAACCGAAACTTAAGGGGAATATACAGATCACTAAATCTGTCATTCGACTTAAACGAGCCAGAAAATCGATGATCTCTCAATAAGCTGCTCGAAACGTGATTGTTGAACTTGCGTAGTATTGTTGCACTCAATGTTTGAGTTTAAGCACTCATTGAATGATTAACGAGTACTTTTGAGTACTCGCACTTAAAAACAAAAAGTAATCAGCTCGTACTGAGCTCGTACTCACCTTGACATTCGGCTGCTGCAACTGCAAGAAGGTGGCTACTCCATTGCGCACACGATTCTTGACGCCGCGGACGGTGCCCTTGGAGGAGCGTATTGTGGATGTTTGTGAGGCGCGGCGCACGTCCTTATAGCCGGCAAAAGCGTCCTCATCGTGCTCCTCGGCTTCGCCTGGCAAACTGTACGCCTCGTATTCCGGCGACATGCGACTGCAGCTCTCCGGACCGAAACTGCGATAATTTGCATGCTCGTTCACATGAAAATTGTAATATTGATCTGCCTCATATTGCAGAGGACGTCCATCGATTTTGGTCGCCGTCAGAGACTGTTCCATCTGCCCCTCCCTGCCCGTCTCCCTGTCGCGTATATCGCGCAGCAGCGAACTGGGCAAGAGGGCGCCCAATTTAAGTATCGGCGCCGCCTCATTGGAGTGCAGCGAGTCGCAGCTGAGCGAGGAGCTGCTCTCGTCACACTCCTCGCTGTCCGTCAAGCTGTAGGCGCGCGAGTGCGTACCGGATTGCCCGCTCGGGGTATTAACTCGGATGCGAGTCGTCTTCAGATGCAGCTCCAGCTTGGGCACGCCACTTCCGCTCATGTTGCTGCCGCCAATGTTGCTGTTGCTGTTGTTCTTGCTGTTGCTGTTGCTGTTGATGGCATTGCTGTCACTGCTGGGCGATTTGATGCTCTCCAGATCGCTGCCAGTGCCGCTGTCCAGAGTCTCGCAGGGCGAATACTGGCCACTGGACACCAAATAGCATAGCTGATAGGGCGCTGTGGGTGGCTGTGCCTCAGTTTGTGAATGCTGTTGCTGCTGCAGTTGCAATTGTAGCAGTTGCTGCTGCTGCTGCTGTTGCTGCTGTTGCTGCTGTTGCTTTAAATGTAATACCATGTCGCTGTCGCTTTGGCTGTCGTTCAGTTTTACCACGCTTATCTGTTTGCCGAGCCTGGGCTGGCTTTGACTTGAATACGAGCTCTGACCGTTGGCTATCTGTATCTTGACCGTGTGCTGTGGCGCACAGACGCCAACTGTTTCGGTCACTGCACCTAACGTTAACTGACTAGCGTCGCCGTCGCCGTTGCCGTTGCCGTGGAGAGCGCTCTCTTCAATTTCAATAGCTTGAAGCTCAGCTGTGGCTGCAGCTCGTAACACGTTTCTAACGTCATCGGCAACATTGCAGCTGATAATAGTTGATGCTGCTGCTGCTGCTGCTGGCGGGGCTGCAACAGCAACAGCATCAGGCACAGAGTTAACCTCGGCCTCGGCCTGGCCAATGCGCAGCAGCAGCTGTGGATATAATTTAGTTGCTGGCTCGTTTGTTGCTGCAGCTGCTGTTGCTCCCACCGTGTTGCAACTAGTTTCCAAAACAACATGGGTTGCATGGTCAACCTGAGGCGTCTGCAAATTGTTGTCTTGATCGTTATTGCTGCTGCCACTGCTGTTGCTGCTGCTGCTCTTGCTGCTGCTGTTGTCGCCAAATGCCAACAACATGGTCTGCGACTTGAGCGACATTTCGTCGCCTTCAATGTTGTTGCCTGCCGGCTTAGCTGGCTGCTCAGATTCAATTATTATTGAAATACCGCGCAACGGCCTTTGCTGCTGCTGCTGCTGCTGTTGCTGCTGTTGCTGATGGTGCATGCTGCCAATCGCTGCTGCTGCTGCTTCTGCTGTTGTTATTGTTGTTGCCATGATTTTTGTCGCTGCCATAGTTCTGGCAACAGCAACAGCATTTGGTAATTTGATGCGCCGCCAATATCTAATTTCAATTTTATGCAATTCTCAAGTGTGTTGCTGTTGTCGCTGCTGTTGCTGTTGTTGCTGTTGTTGCTGTTGCTGCTGTTGCTGCTGCTGTCGTTACAGGTTGTTGCTGCTGATGCTGTTGTGCTATTTGCTGCTGACCGTTGCACGGCGCGTTTTACAGTTAGTTGGCCGCATGCAGATTGTACCTGCAAGAAAAGAGCAAACAGAATGTCATTAGCAAAAGAGAGCGCCAACGAAAGAGAGAAGGAGAGAAAGAGCGAGCGAGCGAACGAGCGAGAAAGAGAGAGCAGCACCTACAAGACTTGGCCAACTGGCCAACTGGTTGACTGGGTGAATGGTGGCTCCCAGCATGAGCTTGACATTTAAGCCGAAGATGTGCCCGGTTCGTTGGAAAGACTCAGACGCAGACGCAGACGCTGGGGACGACCGGCTGCATAATAAATGTTAAAAGCTTTGCCAAAGCAGAAAACGCCACAAAGCAACAACAACAACAACAACAAGACGACAATAAAAAATGAGATATAACAATAATCATCATTATAATGAAACACACAAAACCGCATTTAAGGCTGTCAGAACAAATATATAAAAAAAAAAGAACAGACCACAAGAAAAACAAGTAAGAGTGCTCGGCATGCGAGTCTCGACTTGGAGATACTCTGTACCCAGTTTCTTTTTTCCTCAGCGCCCCACTTTACAAATTGCATTCTTTTGTAAGCCCATTTTCATCTTTTTCTATTTTGGCTCTGCCGAGAAAAACTATCCAAATTAAAGTTTAATTCCCTTGAATAGCAATCAAAATCCTATATACCAAATTTAATAGCGTAGCTCTCAAAATTGCCGAAAAATGCCAAAAACAAGCTGAAAATCGATACTTATCGATTTCGAGACAACGTTACGATTCACCTACGATTTAAAGTCTCTAGCTCTCTAGCATGGCTAGATCGATTCGTCTATTGCTGCTGGCCGAATATATATTTAATTATATTTACTTTATGGATTCGCCTGTTAGATGCACAACAATTAAACATTTGTTAATCTATTTTCAATGATTACAGGGTATAAGATGTATAAAGATTACGAGTATGTACGACTTTGCCTGCACTATAATTTTGATTATAGGCGCAGCTCAAACAGAAGCGACATCAACAGAGAAAAGTAGAGTATTTTTGTAATGAAACAAAAGAAATTAGATTCGCAGTAAAATTGTTATGTTAATAGTTTTATTTTACGATATTTGACATTACTTTTTGTCTTGAAACGAATTTTAAGGTGTATTTCGTAATTATTTTTTTCATTATTGTTATTAATATTTCCTACTATTTATTATTTTTCTGTTAGTCTATGAACACGCTATCAACCTGTCTTGTAAACATCCCAAAATAACATGAAGGGCCACAAAGGGACTCATTAATAGAAAGCTATATTTATACATAAGTTATTGAAGTTATAATTCCGACTGCGATTTTCAAGATATGATGAAGCTAAAGCTTATGAGGGGCACTAGACAATAATTGAATCTCAAAATAAGTATGAGAACCCCTGATCCAAAGCATAAAAAAACATCTTTAGCCCAGTCTGAGCTTTGAGTTTGGGTCCTCGTCTTACAGACTCGCTGCGATCCCTAATGTATTGAGATTGATTGATTGATTGATTGAGCTTCCGCAGTTTTTGTCACACCTGTGCAGTGTTCATTGGAATTCCTATGATATAACCCAGAAAGCTAAAATAAAGAACAAACAGCCTTTACAGCGCCCAGTAAAAACGAAATTCATTGTTTCCAAATGCTGTGCAAAGCGAATACACCAGTTTTTATGGGTCGCACATCATCGATACTTTTAGAGTCGAAAACAAAGAGCAACAATGCAAAAAAACGCTTTTAAGAACAAGATTTACATACATTTGAGGTGGATGTTGGGCCGCGGCTTTTGAAGCTTGGGCTCCGTCCAAAGCTGATGCTGTTGTTGTTTTTGTTGCTGTTGTTGTTTTTGTTGCTGTTGTTGTGTTTCTGGAAACTGGTAACTGGTTACACTTGAACCTGGCGCTGACCAGTTGTGGGATACCCAGTCCGAAAATATTTGAAGCGGGCGGACAAGGCGCCTAACCTCTAAATGTTACAGTTGTTGTTGCTGCTGTCGCTGCTGTTGCTGCTGTTACTGCTAGCCTGCATTCGCCGCTTGTTGCACACAAATTTCATTTGGAGGCACATGCACAACAACAACACGAAAATAACAAACCGAACTGAGCCAACAAAAACAAAAAAATACAACAAAATGTGCAGCTTGTAGGGGAAGTTATTGTAAGGGCGGGTGGGCGCAGCTCGCACACACACACACACACGCGCGCACACACAGTCGAAGGCGCACACGCACACAGGCACGCACGCACGCACGGACGCACGAATCTAAAAAGTTTCGAGTTATGGTTTTTGGTTTTCGGTTTCGGTTTTGGGCGCCTTAAAGCGAACGCGGCGCGTACAACTCATTCAAAATCGCGCTGGCAACTGAAAACCGCAGCAACAAAGTCGCGCTGGGTTGGCGTGTTTTGCCAGGGATTTGTTGTTGTTGTTTTTGTTGTTGCTGCTGTTTGTTGTGTGTGTGTTTTTTTTCTACGTGCCTCTGTCGCTGCCGCGTCCGCTGCTGTTGCTTTTATTTTTTAAATTTTTGCTTTCAAGAAAACAAAAAAAAAACCCGCAAAGCAGTTAAAAAGCAGCAGCAGCAGCAACGTCGCCGTCGCCAACGAAATAACTTAAAACAACAAAAATAACAGCAAGAACAACAACAAAAAGTCAGCAATCGCAGTCATAAACGTTGCGCTGCGACGGCGCTGCTAGCGGCAGCAGTGGCAAAAACAATGTGATCCGAGAATTTGTTTACGTGCGCAGGCGCAGCCGCTGTCAACGTCGACGCCGACGCCAACGCCAACGCTGGCAGCGCCTCAGCCATCGTACACACCCCCATGCCGCCAACACCCCGCAACCCACCTGTTGTTACCGCTGGCGTTGCTGCTGCTGCTGCTGCCGCTGTTATTGTTGTAGTACTCGTTTGTTGCCAAAGTTAATTGTGTGCGGCTGCCGCAGTTGCCCCAAGTCGCACAGTGTCGCCAATATCGCAAACAGCTTAGAATCAGATGCATATTATTCTAGAAGAGAGTAATTTTGCACCTTTTTGCCATCTTGTCACAAAACTCTAAATTTTAAATTAAAATTATTTTGGCTTATTTAAATGTTAATTTATAAAGAAGAATCTTTTAATATGACCTTTGAGTAACTATGAAAAATTTGCGTCAGATTAGCGGCATCTAATCATATTTTTGTGAGCCAATTGAAAACTATAATAAATATGTATGTATCAGAAACTTTTTTGACTAAGAATAAACGAATTTCCCAATCTTTTATAATTGTTACACAATTATTACTTAATACCTTATATTTTTAACTTCTTTAAGATTTAGAAAAAAAATATTAAAATACATCTGAAATCAAAAAAAGAAATGAAAAAATAATAAATAAAAAATAAGTAAAATAAATAACTACTTTGTTTGATAGGCTTCACCAAATCGGTGCTATTGTTATTCTTAATAAAAATAAGTCATATAATAATTGCTGAAATTTCCAAGCTGGGAGATTAAAAATAATAATCTGTAGCTTTTAGATTTTCCTTATCGTTTACGCATTAAAAGTCTATCAAAATATACTCCAACTCATGTAGAATTTCGTGGACATTCCGAATAGCAGTAACATGTGCCAAACCTGCTATCACTGAACAGAACCTGTTAACAGATGCGCGTTATCTTAAGCCACTGTGCATACCACTGTCGGTCGCTTGTAAACGTCGACTTTTGCAGCATTCGTCTTAGCTATTTCATTTATTTCGCCTGCCTCATATGTATGTATGTATTGCATACAAATACACATGTATGTATGGGTTACACCTGGGCATGGCTCAATGGCTTGGTTGTCTTTCTCTCCCTCTCTCTCGTTCTCTCCCTCTCTTACTCTCTTCGTCTGTACATATTTATCTTTTCTATTCAACATATGTATTTGTGCATTGTTGTTGCTGTTATTACTGTTGTTGGCGTCTTAGGTTTGTCTAGGCTCGTCCGTCTAAGGTTGACTAGTTGTCGTCGTGACGTTGCAGTCTCCGTCGCCGTCGCCGTCGCCGTCGTCGTTGCAGTCGATGCAAGCGTCGCTGCTGCTGCTGACTTACCATTTAACATGTCTGTTATCGATCGATTGGCGTTGTCGGTTGTTGTTGTTGCTGTTATTATTGGCGCTGCCACAAAAACTATGCCAACAATTTGTGTGCAGGTGTCGCAGCTACAACAAAAACATAAACACCAACAGCAACAACAACAGCAACAAAAGCAGCAGCAGCAGCAGCAGCATGATATTGTTGCATTTTGAATTTTGCTTTTAATTGTGCTCGCCTGGCTGGATTTCCATTAACATCTATGCAAAGCTTTTCAAATTTGTGTGTGCAATCAACGAAGCCACAAAAATGTTCAAATGCACATGAACAGAGTTAGCGAAACGGCAACACCAAAGCCAAGAGCAACACCAACACCAACAGCAGCAGCAACTGCAACAACAACAACAGAAAAGCCCACAGCAAGCTGTAATTTTCCGCTAATTTGATGCGCAAGCTGCGTCCAAGACGCTGACGGACTAAGCATTGCTGCCAGCCTATTGACTACCCGGCTGGCTACCTGGTTACCCAGCAGCCTGTCTACCCCCCGCCCACCAGGCTGATCACTTGGCAACCGTTTCCGCCTGTTGCGCTTCGCTGCGGCAAGCCCAGGGGTGTCAGCGGGCAAAGGCAGCTGCCAGCCGGCAAAGGGGCAGAGCTTGTGACTGGACAAGTTAGAACCACAGTTGTGCTTACCGTTAGGAATGCGTGGCATGAGTTGCAGCTGTGGCTGGCAATGTGCCCACCAACTCATTTAAGAGTACCAGTTATCTATCTGGCAAGGCATAAAAGCTCTCAGCTCGCAACAAAGCTTCAACAGACTAAGACTTGCCACCGCTTGGCGCCCCAGTAAAAGAACCCTGTGCCTAGCTCTAGATACCCACCCATTTTCCGCCCGAGTGAAATTCCATTTCCGCGGAGTAAATTATTCGCATTAACGCGCGAAATGCAAGACTTCCATTTTATTCACTTTTTAATGGGTGCTAGGAAGAAGGACGCAAGTAAGAGGGTCAGGTCCAACTGACTGCGCAGTACTCAAGAAAAAGTCTCTTTTTATAGCCTGAGCCCATTGAAAATGGGTGAAAACCGCATAATTGTCTTATGTCTTATGCAAATGTATGTAGCCGGCCAAAGGAAGCATCTCCAACATTATGAAATGTCTGAGTCGATCCAGCCAAGCCAAAATACAGAAGCTCGAAAATTAAATATATATATATTCTTTTACACCTCACATCATCATAATCAAACGTGATTTTCATTAACATTACTTTTTCTATAATAGTGAAAAGTAATTATCATTATCATTACTTCTTATATGTTAAGAAACCGAGAAAATAAGGTTGTCTTCGACACGCCGACGATTTAATACCCTTGTAGACGTTTGCCTCATGGTTTTGCAAATGTGTAAGATTTGTGAAGCTCGTAAATGCTAAGTTTAATCAAAATATTTTGGAAAACAGATCAAGTTGTTATACAAAACTCAGTTTTTAACAGATTCTTCCTAAAATACTATATAATATAGAAAAGCGATCTTGATAAGATTGGGCTTATACATATGTTATATAACAATGACGGGTTTGGTGAGGATAAAAATAAATAAATAAATATCTTGATTAACAGAAAAGTTTTCCATACAAGAAATACATTATAATGACATGGCTGTATCGAAAATATATAGAAAATATACATACATTTATGGGGTCTAAGATGTCTCATTCTATGCGTTACACATTTAAAGATAAAATTATAAAACCCTCTACAAAAGTATAAAAATACGCATATGGGCACAACTCTGTACGTAAGAACTTTAGACTGTTTGTTAAGGTCGGCAGCCCGGCCCCCTCTTGATTATTAGATGAAGGACTCTGAAAACTATACATACTCTCATTCAGTCTGAGTACCAACCTGTAAGGTGCCGAAAATCCAAATACCTATCGAAAACCGAAAATACCTATCGATGTATGTTGTATCTACCTGTCGGGAAACAATAACAATATACCCCTTACCTCAATAGAAACCTTTCAGCTGACAGTGTAAAAAATAAAAAAAAGTTTCAGAGTAAAGAGCATTATTCTTTGGATTTAATGCTCGATAGATGGGTCGCCCAAGTGAACAAATAAACAAGAATTCGGGTTCCAATCCCACACAAAGTTTATGGATCGAATATTTTGTGAGCTGAAGGATATAGTTTTTAACTATATATAACCTTAACTCATAATAATAATGATAAAAATAACAGCAATGATATTTTATTTTTATATATAATATTATTATTGTCCCTATTTTAACAATGAAGATCATAAAAGTAATCTGTCCATGCGAATAACTATGTCCATATCAGAAGCACATTTTCCATACTTTAAAGTATATATATATTAAAGCTGCCAATTAATAAAATAATATAATTAGAAGTTTATTTAAATGTGGCTTTTTGCACAATTGCTTTATTGTCATTAGGTAAATTGTTGTTATTGTTCATCATTGGCCAACTTTTAACATATTCGTAATGATATTGAAGTGTCCTCTTATACACAATGTACATATATATATATATATATATATATGTATATATATCGTAAATTACATAATAATCTTTGAATTTCTTTAGAATATTTTTTTTATAATAGAACAAAATGCAATATTTATTAGAATTAATAGTAAACAATACATCAATGGAAATTCCAGGGCTATTTTTTTTTTTCAATCAATATATATTTATTAATAAATTTTTTGCTAGTTTCATATATGTTAGTGGGTCGTTTTAAGCAAATTGTGGGCTGGGTCTTTTGGGGGGCGGGTGGAATGACTAGGTATATTGGTATAATTGTATATGGCATTAAAACATTCTTTCATAATTATTGTCAACATCGATAACACTTAATACAGTTCAATATGCAAGTATGTATATACTATATAATAATATCAACTATACATGGCTGCATGTATATGTATTTATGTAAATATATGTATAGTACAACTATGTTAAATAAATTATTAGTTGCATTGCACATTTAACACACATAAATACGTACATATATAGGTACATATGTAAGTAGATTCCTTCATTGGCGTGATATCTTCTATAATATTTATAATTCCTTTAGTATATCTTATATTTATAGCCAAGATAGAGCGAGTTCTCTTTTGTCATACACAATTCGATTTCGGCTAGATGAACGGTTTCGTTTAGTTAGGCATTTAAAATATGTAGATGTATACTATATATATGTATATATAGCTGTTAAAACACGATACGATCAGAGCCCAAAGATATATGGCACATATAAATACATATGCAGCTGGCTCTTATCACGTTTCGCTATACCTCTTATTACAATGAGTAGTTTATGTTTTTGGCTAAGACGTTCAGATCAGAAATAAGTACATTGGTTGTATCGCAAGAGTTTCGTTCGGAGAAATCAAAAAGATTTGCTTATTTTAACCATTTTTAAGAATAACATTGAAAGTAGCAAAATTAAAAGAAAATAAACACATTTAGATTTCTTTATATTCTAGATCCTTATATGGACCAAAAAATAAACGTATGCATATATGTATATAATATTATAATAGATATGTTCGTATGTATGTTAAGAGCTAGAAAATGTTCCTATAATCCAAACACAGATCAAATTTATTTCAGTTTTCATACTGTCCCCACTTGAAAAAGAATTTCAGTAACCTTCTTATATTAAATAAACATAGGAACTAAGTAATATATATATGTATATTGAGTTGCATCTAACTATGAAAACAGGGTATTTTTCTAGCCAAGGCGTCTTATTTAGTGATTCAGCAACAACACAAAAAGCTAAGCGACTCACAACAGAGAATGATATGGGCATATATATACATATCCATTTGTCGCTGGCGCCCTGTTATATCATATTTTTATTTTTTTTTAATATAGATGATGTATAACTAAAAAGATATGGTACGGTTTCATCATTGCTTTATCAATAAACATATATATTTTACGTATACATATATAGGCTGAAGGCAAACACAAAAACAAATAGAGGACTTAAGAACAATTTATCGAAACGCTTTAATAACTTTAAACGTCTTTAAACGCTTCAGATACGATTACTTTATAAATATATGTTAATAAATAGTTTCATATATTTGATATATATATATATGTATATAGTCAGCAATATATTTTTGTTCAACTGGGTGTCAATTTCACTTTGCATTTCAGTTTTTCCGTTTCTTTTTTTTATGTGGAAATTAAAGATTCAACTTCGAATATGGCGAGCCATACGAAATCGGAAATGTGTACATATATGTATGTACATATGTATGTGGATGTGGGTTATGCCAAAACAATCCGAGTATTGTATTTGTATGTGAGTACCATAATGTGTCCCACTTTTAACAATATTCAAAAAAATTCATTTCCGAAGATGATTTCATATTATTGTTACTAGCATTTTTGCTATGCGAGCTGCCTTATACACATGCATAATTATCGTAGAACATTGAACATATTTATGAAGTTATGCGGAAATATTTTATAGATTTTAGTCATTGTGTTTTTTATTAGTATTTGTTATTTATTTATTTATTTTTTTTTTTGTATTTTTCGTATTTTTTTTTTGTTTGTTACTGAAACCGCGCACAAGGCGCTGAGTTCACCGTTGTTTTTTTTTTGTGTGTGGATGTTGGAGTTCCTGTTATTGTTGTTGTCTTTCGTGCAGTCTTTGGGAACGTATAGATACATAGATGGGAGATACATAGTTGTCGGTATTGACGCTGCCTTCCATCGGTGAGCGAGTTTTTGGCTTAGTTATTGTCCGTATTTACACATAATTGTTTAGTTTTGTTATTGTCAGCAATTGCAGCAGCTGCTGCGTCTACTCCTCCTCCTCTTCGAGCGACTTTTCGGGCAGCCCGTATTTGGGACAGCACATACCCTCCGTGCCGTCCATATTGAAGCAGAAGATGCTGCGCTCCAGCTCGGTGGGCTCATGGGGCACGATGCCGTGCACCTCCCTCAGTTCTGCCTCGGGGAACCAGGCAGGATCCGAATCCTCTACTACCTTGATGCCGCACAGACTGTTGTTTGTTAAAAACGACACCAAATTAGCGAACTTTGTACAGGGTATGAAACGGTTAAAATACTAATATACTTATAATACAAGCAGATATTGATCGAACTTGCCCGGTTCACTATTGGTTCAAATATTTAACCTCTACTCTTTACCCAATTTCCGCCCGGGGAACAATTAAATCTGTCCGCACTATTTTGGCCTCCAAGTCTCAGCGAAGATATTTGAAAATGAGTTTGTTGAAATCAACGTTTTTTTTTTGCTCATTTTAGTCTCGTGTTGTGAAGCTTAAAGCGGAGCAATTAACTTTCGTTCATTTCCAGGTGGGAAGGATTTTGTGAAAAGTTCGTAAAACGCATCAAATAAATGCTCACAAAGATCTCCTAAAGTGAGTTAGAAGCTGTTTAGGTATTAAACAGAAAATTTGAACTAAACCCCATCGGTCAGTCATAGTTTATATACTCAGATTGATAACGCTTTTTTGACTTCCTAGGGGAGAATTTGACGATATCACCGCATTCACAAAAAAAAAGAAAATACAATTCAGAGTTGATGGTCATATTGACCATTAAAATTATTCTCGTTATCGTAAAGCTATCCCCCACGCGATACGTATTCGTATCTGCATAATACATATCAGAGTAATTGCTTTATGTGAGCTGTAACAGTTTTGAACTTACCGTAATATAGCCACGAGTGGTATCCACAGTATGGATGAGAGTATCAGGATGAAGGCGATGACAATGCACCAATGTGGCCACTCCATATTCTCGGTGGCGCCCTGAGCCGCGATCCAAGCCGGGTAGCTGCTGCCCTCGGTCAGCAGCTGGTAGAAGGAGGCCAACAGTATTGTAACCATGGCGCAGGGCGACAAATACTTCCAGCAGAACATCCAATAGAAGCCTGGCCTCGAGCCGGTCATCATCTCAATGTCATCCGAAAAACGCCTCACCCCATAGATGTAGCTAATCGATAGACACTCGAAGAGCGCAATAATCAGCAGCGGAAAGTTTCCGGCAAAGCTGTCCATTAGCTGAAAGATGTAGCTGCCGGCGCCGTTGGCAAAGCACATGGAAATCAGGCAGCAGGAGAGGCACAGTGCCTGCAATAAAAATATATCAAGGGATTAGCTAATGCGGCAGCTGCAGTCTGCAGTCTGTGAGTGGTGCGACATACGCCAACGATCCACTCCTTGGGCAGATTGGGGAACAGCTTCATGTCCACCAGCGATGTGACCACGCCCTCCAGCGTGCCAAACTGCGAATCGATGCCCAGCGTAAAGAGCATGAGGAAGAAGAGCACAGCCCAGAGCTGGGCGCCGGGAAACTGATTAATCGCTTCCGTAAATATGATAAAGGCCAGTCCAGTACCCGAGGCGCTCTGCAAATGGTAAAAACTTTGAGATTAGAAAAGTCCAAACGACACACACTTACATTAGCCAGCTCTTGCTGCAGATCGCAGATGGGTAAATTGTGTGTTCGATTCTGGGCAACCAAAGCGGCTCGGTCCTCCGTACAGCGGTCAAAGGTCGCTGTGGCCTTAAAGCCAATCACCGAAAAGACCACGACGCCGGCGAACATGGAGGTGCCACAATTGGTAAGCGAAACGAGTATTGCATCGCGATAGCAATTGTTGTTGGCTGGATTGTAGGAGCTGAAGGCTATCAAGCCGCCGAATGCGAGGCCCAGCGAGAAAAATATCTGTGTGCCAGCCTCCAGCCAGACCACCGGATCGAGCAGCGTGTCCCAGCGCGGTGTAAACAAATGGGCAACCCCATCGGCGGCGCCCTTCAGGGTGATGCCACGAAAGAAGAATATGATAAGCACCACATAGGGAAATATGGCCGTCATATAGACGATTTTTCCAGACGATGTGATGCCCTGCACCATGCATATGTAGACCAGAAACCAGGATACAATCAGTGCAATGGCCATGTGATAATTGAAGTTCTCCGGCATGTCCACGCCCTCCGAGCACTGCAACGTGGTGCGGTACCAATAGAATTGAGTCGGCGACGATGCCACACACTCCGGCTCATGGTCGTACGTATAGTTCTTGTAGAGGCGCGTCGGGCAATCAGCCCAAGGCAATGGCGACTCAAAGCTGTGCAGCAGGTAGATCAAGCACCAGGCAATGATCGTGTTGTAGTACAGTGCCACAATGAAACTGACCACCGCCGAGGAGATGCCAATGCCTCCGAGATACGGCGACACCTGGCTCCATACGCCGATTGCTCCCTTGCGCAGTCGCTGTCCAATGGCCAGCTCCAGATAGAAGATCGGTATGCCCTGGATGCACAACATTATGAAGTAGGGCACCAAAAAGGCGCCGCCGCCATTCTTCTGCGCCAGATATGGAAAGCGCCACACATTGCCCAGGCCGACTGCATAGCTGTGTGGCAAGCAGAAAGAAAAATATCCCGAGTTCAAGAACAGTTCAAGCTAAGATTTCTAGACAAACGTATTATTACTTAATTAAAACAGGAATCTGCGAGAATTGTGGGAGAGTCTTTGGTTGGCAGAATATGATGTTGTTTTTATTTCTTACAGATATTTTATCGAAATTCGAGTTTAAACTAAAGCACCAATCCGTTTTGGAACCCGGCACTCCACATTTGCTTGAACCGAATCTTGAACCATTTTTATACCCTGAACCCATTAAAAATGGGTAAAAAGGGTATTATGTATTTGTGAAAATATATGTAACAGGCAGAAGGATGCTTCTCCGACCCCATAAAGTATATATGTATATTCTTGATCAGCATCAACAGCCGGGTCGATCTAGCCATGTCCGTCTGTCTGTCCGTATGTATGAACGCAATGATCTCAGAACCTATAAGAGCTAGAGACTTGAAATTTTAGCTGTAAGTCCTCCTAGTGCCCGCGCAGATCGAGTTTGTTTCCGATATTCGATAACTTGCCCCGTTTTCAGGTAATCGATAAAAATCGATATCGAAATCCTGTTTTTTGAGCAATTTTGGTAAATAATAAGAGCTAGAGTCACCAAACTTCTAGAATAGTACATATAATTCAAGTGTCCTTCATTTTATAGCTATCGCCAATAGACTTTTTGAGAATACTCAAATAAGAAGATAAGAAACACAAAAGTTATGTATATGTTTAGGTTGCGTACGTGTTGTTAGAAGCAGCAGAATTTCTAAAAACATGTACACACACACATTCATGCGCGTCTGCTTTGAATTGTATCAACAGCATTGCAATTGCGATTGTATTGTTTTCTGTGCTGCTATTTTAATTCGTTTTGTTCTCACAAAGACATAATTATTGGTGTGGCTGTTGAGTAGAGTCGGCAGCAAGTAATGCGGTCAGTTACGAGTTCGATCCCTGCCAAGGGAACTTTTTTTTTTTAATTATCTTTATTACTACTAAAGCAAACAAGCGCGTAGCGCGAGCTGTATTTGGTGTTGGAATAGGAGGGTTCAGGGTATCCCTTATTCTGGAGCTCCCGACTAGAACCTCTTACTTGTTTACTCTTAAAATTTAATATTAAAATAATTTAAAATAATCAAATAAAAAAATAAAATAGCATAATTATTAATCAATAAGAGAGACGCATGAAAAATAGTTTTCATTTTACAGATAAATACTTTGTCATACTTTGTTCTTTCTTCGATCTGTCTAATATTACAACTCAAAAACGTATATGGATTATAAACTTTTACTCTTTAAACAGTAATTACTGTATCCATAGTTTCAAAATAAGCTGTTATTTATATATATAGTATGTATATCGGGTACATCTTTACTCACCCTATGGTGGCCAGCAGAAACATAATTTTGCTGTCCCAGCTCTCGCGCTCGTCACCCTCCTTCTCGCCCTCAACGATATCCTGCTGTTCCTGTTGATCCACAGCAGTGGCCAACTCGACCTTAATTTTGCTGGTGCTGGCATCGGAGCCAAATGGCGGCTCCTGTTCCAGTTCCGATGACTCGTCAAAGGCATCGGACATGAAGCCCTGATTTGTGGCACCATACATGGGCTGATGATGGTGGTGCAGTGATGTGTGATGATGATGACTGACGCCATGCTCCTTGGACACCAGGCGGCCACGCAGCTCCTTGAACATCAAATATAATAAGCCCAGTGTTCACCTGGTATAAGGCTTGGGATTCACTCACCCGCAACTCCAACTGATCGATACTTTTTTGGCTCTTAAGCACAATGTCGCGCGAGCTCTGGCGGCGCAACAGTTGCGCTGTGTTGGCCATTGTCGATTATGCGTTAAACGTTAAGAGTTTTGTTGTAGTTGTGGTTGTTTCTTTTATTTGTTTAAGTCGTTATTACTGTTATTTACTTAGCAAACAAGTACTTTGTACATAAAAAATGTGCGCTTTTGCGAGTAGATAATCGGCAAATTCTGTGCATGTGCGTGGGCTGCTTGCTGTGCTGCTCATGGAACTAACGGCTTAATCGTGACATTCGCATTGCATACTTTTGTGCGCTAAGTAAAATTATCACTAGGCGCCATCTTAATTGGAGTTGGTTTTACTTTCCTTTGGGCTTGAGGGTGACGGCTAAACAAAATGTAATTTCAGGCAAATGAGCAAGAACGTAAAATAACCAAAACGAATATAAAAGTATCATGCAGCAATAACAATCAATCAGTGTATAAATACACAAACATGCCCACATACGAGTGAAAGCTCCCGTTCAGGACACATACTGACAGTCATTGACAAAGCGGGAGCACCCGTCCATAATAAATCAATCAAATGAACTTTACTACAACGACCCACATACGCAACTTAACACACACACTTACACACAAACACCCAGAGCAACTGATACTTAATACGATAGAATTTCAGTTAAACATGCTGATAAAGTACCTAGGATAATGGTTTTCACTGCCACAAACAAAAGTAAATTTCGCCTTGAAAACCCTTTGATACCCTTTGATACCGTGTGTGCTAGTCAGTTGTCCAATGCTGTACACATACATACATATATTTTAACGATTTTTTATACATTTTTTATAAAAAAACGCGTGCATACACAGCATTCCACAATTTTAGCTTAACCATTTAGTTTATTTGAAATTAAATTCTTAATTAATTTTTCGTACCGTCGTTAGCGATTGAGTTAGTGAGGTTAATAAAAAAAACCTATGTTGCCTACTTTTCGGCTGACACTTTTACATATAGAAAGCCCACGCAAATTTGTTGGCCCTTATATAACGAAACACTCCTGCTGCAGACGATAAAAACGACTACGACGATAACGAAACGAGCGTAGGGTAAAGGACACTTTACAGAAGGCGTGCTTGGCTGCACGTGCTGCTACGCAGGTGAGTGTCTAGGCATTAAACAGTATTAAGAGCCCTTTATATACATACATAAGCTGATAATGCACATATATATCCAAATATATGTATGCGTATGTATATATGCGATTACAAGCTTATCAACGTAAGACCCAGTAGCGGCTCGTAATGACGCGCCGTACTGCTGAAACTGCAGGACGATGACAAGAAACTGTTGAGCGGACAGGATGAATACCAGAGGTCGCACACGCAGCATGCTGCTGCTATATTAAGCGCGCGCGCAGTCAACAACCAGGATAGCTGGTGGTAGTGGGCGTCAGTTAGAGCGAGATGACAACAGTGGGGGGTAGCTGGAGTTCTGAATGAAATGGTTTGTGTAAACAGAAAAGGCCAAAACAAAGAAATGAGCAGCAACAAATTAGGCCAAAACCACCACTTTCATAGACAGCTGTTGGGCATATGCTTTTATATTTGTATGACGGTTACGTGAATCAACAAATTCAAAAACTGCTACGACCGTTACATCTGAAATCAAACGCAGAGTGCTGATGTTAATGGCAGTTAAATTAATAGCGTCAACGCAAATTTAAAGACGTGAACCAGAAACGTAAGCGCAGTTAATGTAAACACAAAAAATATCGAATCATCGTAAAGCAAAACAACGTAACGTAACGCAAACGCAGTCCAACACGTTACGATATTTACCGAATACTTCTGTTTTTGTTGTTGCCGGTTTCGGGCCCTGTAATTGACAACACTTGCCAAAAGATTTCATAATTAACCCAAAGAAACAGCTGCTGACAACATGGTCTTCAAATGTCAGGAAGACAGCTTCCTTAAGCAGGCAAGATACACTCGCCTTAAAAGGAAGCCAACATCGCTTAATCCATGACTTTCTCGCAGTTCCGGACGACTGTCGTCTCGTGCGATTATGCTACCTTGGAGTGGAGCGGCGAGGACAATAGCGCAGAAGCGCGTCAGCTGCGCGGCTTTAACGTGGTCTGTGAGAACACCATTCTTTTTCCCGAGGGCGGCGGTCAACCCTGCGACTATGGCACGATCAATGGGCAACCGGTGCGCAGTGTCTTGCGCAAGGGCAGCACAGCCATCCACTTTGTCGAGTCCCCTAACTGCTTTGAGGAGGGTTCCGAGGTGCAGCAACAATTGGATTGGACGCGACGTCTGGACCACATGCAGCAACATTCCGGACAGCATCTGATAACAGCACTGTTTGATCGCGAGTTCAAGTACGACACAACGTCCTGGTCTCTAGGTGCCAGCGTCTCATATATACAGCTGAGCACACCACATCTTATTAGCCGCGAGTCTCTTGATCTTATAGAGCGGCAAGCCAATGATCTTATTCGCGAGGGTCGCGCTGTCAGTGTGCTGCTCGTGGACCCGGAGGTGGCGCAAGAGTTTCAAGATGCACGAGCACCGCGAGGCCTGCCCAAGGACCATGAGGGACTGGCACGTGTTGTCCGCATCGAGGGCATTGAGTCCAACATGTGCTGCGGCACACACGTGACCAATTTGTCCCAACTACAGTGCATCAAGCTGTTATACGCCGAGAAGGTCAAGTCAAATGTTCTGGTGTATTTTGTGGTGGGAGAACGCGTCCTGCGAAAGCTGGGCGAGATCTTCAAACGCGAGCAGCAGCTCACAGCGGCGCTTAAGTAAGATAGCCTGATAGCCCCTTTCCCTTATCACCACGAATATTAAAATGTTATCCAATCGAAATCTTCTAGGGGCGGCGCACAGCAGCATCTGGAGCTGGTGCAAAAGCTGCATCAAAATGTGAAATCCACACGCAAATCGTTTCAACAGCTGTTAAAAGATTTCGCCAACGCGGAAGCCGAACGCCTGGAGAATCTGCCCAAAGCTATGCGTCCCAAATACTTTACCCTTCATCGGCGTGACGGCATCGAAGTTGACTTCATTAACACATTTTTGCGGAATGCCCCAGAGGAAATTTTCTATTTTTTGACCGTGTCCGAGAGCGTGTCGAGCGGCAGTAGCGCCAAAGGGCATATGGTCCTGCGCGGTGAACCGACGCTGGTGGAACAGCTTGGTCCGAAGTTTCTTGAGCTACTTGAGGGCAAAGGCAATGGCAAGGAGAACAATTTTCAGGGCAAGATAACGAATCTTTCCGGACTACAAGAATGCAATGCTCTGTTAGAGGCGCACTTTAAGCCAAAAAAACCAACTGCAGATCCCGCGAGCGCCTCGTGAAACAGGAAATATCGCGTTACTAATACTGATTTGTACTATTTGGTTAGTTTTTTTCTTTAAATGATGTACAATTTATGATATTAAACATAACTAAGCAGAGGTAACAGACAAGTTGATTTCGCGATCACTAGATGAAGCACTGTGGTGAGCCTATTCAAACACTATCACAGATAGTTGATATCGTAATTTCGCATCTTCCACTTGAGACGCCAGAATTGGTTCCAGAAGCCCACATCGATGATGCGTTCGTGGAAATTCAGAAGGCCTACTGTTGTGTACTCACAAATGGCCGGATATGTGCAGTCATCCTCGTCATACATATCCACCCACATCAGCGTGAAGAAACCCAGGGAGAGGAGGCGCAGCTTCTTCTGATTGATGGCACGCTCCAGCATAATCAGATATTCGGCTGATTCGGGGTTCTGTTGTGCCGGTGGCAGCGTTATCATGCTGTTTGTTTGTTTACGCAATAGCGTCATAAAGGCAAGGTGATCTGGATTATTCTTGGCCGCCTGGTACAGGGCGATTATGCCCGTTCCGTATGCCAGCGATTTCTTAGGCTTAGCATACGACTCTTTTATGACGCCAACGGCCACTTCTGAGTAGTCACGCAACAATCCTTTCCAGTAGTTGGCCCACTTCTCCACCACAGTTCCTTTAAAACGCTCTGGCAATGTGAATTTCTCCTCCAAACGCACACGCAGAGCGGCCATGCGGTTGCCCACTTTAAGCAAACGCATTATGCAGCGCTGCAAAAGATAATTTAATTCAGTTGATGCAACAAAAATAAAAAATCCAAAATATTTTACATACGTTCCGAGTCTTATATTAACTATCGAAATTATATTGTTACGTTGTGATAGTTTGACATGTTGTAAGATTACGCTATTGAAAACTATCGATATACCTTATCAGTTGCAGCCCGTCACGACAAGGCGAATTTTCTTAATATGAATAATAAACTAATACGTTAAAGACTACCTTTTTTATTCAATAACTCATTTGGACATTCTTTTCCTACGGTGACTTAAACAAACAGTTAATTAAATATTTGCTGCACATTTGAGTGAATGATTTTCCGTTAAAAATTCCTAAGGATGGTACTTAATTGAATTTTAGCGAAACGATAGCGAAACTCATCGTGTCATGATCTTATGAATTGTATTATTCTTGGCACACATCGATGTCTCGATATCAATAACAATTACAGTGTTGTTTTGAGGACGGTGCTGCCCGCGCGTAGCAAAAAAATTGCATAAAAAACGCTAAACAAATGCTATTTTCAGAGTTTTGATTACCATTGTGTCGAAATCAATCGCGCGTGTAGACGTAGCGCCCACCGTCTGATTCATGCCAACGTCACACATTAACTTTCCAGACACACACACAAACGCATATACACTCCTCGCCTGCGCTTCGCTGCGCGGTTGGACGACGACCACCGACCACAAATTTTATTTATCAAAAACGTCATTTGCGCTGAGCGAGACTCGCATTTCATAGTCTCGGCGACGGGGTAATTACAGTGCAATCGGAGGCGTTTGTTTGTTGTTGTTGTGGCAACTAGCCAGCAACTGTGTCGAGCCACAGTGAAAACGCAAGAGAAGCCTTAAATTGCAAATAAAAGTTGACCATTGGAAAAAAACAAACTTGTTGCTCACTGCGGACGCAGAGGCTGGGGCTGCGCATTGTGAAATTCAATTCGAAGAACCAAACCAATCAGAAAATCATCTCAGTCAAACTGGAGAAGTGGAAGAGAACTCGCAATTCCACTAAAAAGATGGACCAACGCCAGCGTAGTCCAGGGGGCGCTCCATCAGCTGCAGCGACAGCTGCAACACCCAACGCCGATAAGCCCACAGTTCTGGAAGGTAAATGCCAATTGTTATATTCATTTCAATAAGCTATGTACATACATATATGTATATGAGTTAAATATGCATGACACACCAGCCGATATGCTCATATGTTAATTTTCACATGAAAATATTTATGCGTATATTTTACTAACGGCCACTTTGGGTTGGGTTCTTTTTTTTTTTTTTGCACTGGGCAGCACTCGAGAACAAAGCGGCCTTTAAGAAAGGGCCACAGGGCGCCAACAATCGCTCCTGCGAACAAAGCAGGCCAGTCTATAAATATATCTACGCATTAACTGCTTTGGTATCCTGAAAAGGATTCGCACACACACTTGTGTGTATATAGTGTGCGTATGTGTGACCTGTTGATTGAGCTATTTTTATGAGCCTCAACTCGTGGCCCATTTACAATTGCGACCCGACATTGAGCTTGAGCCTTATGAAAGGCAACCCACTCAGCTCTCAATGTTAATGTTGCTATTGATGCGACCTCCTACCTACCCGACATAGAATTAGATTAGAAGCACGAGTCGCACTTGCCGCCACTTCATTAAAATTGTTCTTTTTTTTTTTTTAATACATCAAAGAAAATTATGTGATATTAATTTAAGTCAGCTGATAGCAATTATCTATGGAACTAGCGAAATAATGTTCATATTTGTTATTTTCTTTGTTATAAAAAAGGGGGATATTTTAGCTATACAATAATCCATTGTTCTACAGCCATATATATTTCGTTATTATTCCTATAAATTGTGTACCCAAGCCACATCCTATTATATTTAAAATCATTTTAATAAGTATTCTTATTTTTCATTGCTTAAATAGATTTTAGATAAATGCCACAATATTGAAGCATTGAAAAAAAAAATGGTACTCCAGTCGGAAGTGTCCGACTAAAGATATCCAGTGCCAAGTTACCATTACAAACACTCTAACTTCTTTCTATACATTGACACACAAGTTAATTCCAAATCGTGGAGATATTTATAAATAAAAATATTGTTAATCTGCACTAAACGATAACTTACATATTAGATTTGATGCATCCCATATCTTCGAGATATGCATTAAAAGCAATGTCTCAAAATTATTATAATCGATATTATGAGAATGGGAGGCGATGAAAATTGTTCTTCGTATGGTATAGAAGCATATATACTTCAGATTTCCAGTCTCTAGTTTGCCACTGCCTCATACAGCTTGTTAAAGAACTAAACTTGTCACTACCAAGTTTGTCATATGTCGTCGTAGAGTGTTCATCAGCAAAAAGAAATACAATCTATGCTTATGAAGTACCAGTTTTTATAACAAGATAAAATATAGTGGGTAGAACGACTCAGTTGGTTGATCATAAATATTTGTTATTAAAGTAATGTAACTGATCTGTTAGTCGCCCTTTTTGGCTAATCTGAACCGCATTCGATGTGAAGTCAAGCTGCAAACCTATTGAGAAACGCCCCCGTTAACTCATTGTGTTTGTGCATTCCACAGGCGTGATGTCCAACATATTTGATGGTCTGACTGATAAAGATGAGCAAGTGCGTCAGGCCATGCAGCAGGCGATAGTGAAGATTCTGGAGACGCATCCATTGCGAGCCACGCTCATACTGACTGATTATCGCGCCAAAAACGCTAAGCTTAGCGAACAAACTGTGTCCATGATATTGGAGTAAGTGCCTCCCGACATTTTCCTATTCTGTTTATTAAATTTATGATGTTTCAGTTGCATTCATCGGGTGGTTGCCGCGGACACCCCGTTGCCAACGGCGGCTAATGAAAAACTGATTGCCCTGGCCTTAGAGGAACTAACACGCAGCGTGGATCAGCATGTGCCGTTAATACAGAATCCCTCATTGCATATACTCGTGTGCATTGGTCGAGGCGATGACTGCAACCTGGTGGTTGAGGCACTGCAAGCGCACAGTGGCCCCTCGAACACCGTGCCGCATTTTATGCTGATGCAGTGCCTCGGCCAGCTGGCCATGGCCAATACAGCTGGTCTGGTGCCGCACATCAAGACAATATTGGCGCGTTGTTTGCCACATTTGGGTGGCATTAAGCAGGATCACGTCAAGCTGGCATATGCCTATGCAATCGGACGCTTTAGTGAGGCGCTTATGGAACACGGCACCAACACGCCCACAGGCGAAACTAAGGCGGCCGCCAATTGCGCCACGGAAATCAGCGTTGCCTACGACGTGCTCTTCAATCAGTGGCTGCATTCGCGTGAGCCCAAAGTATGCATGGAGATACTGCAGGCACTGTCCAGCATGTACCCATTGTTGCCAAGCGATCGGATATTGGATCAAGCGCCGCGGCTAGTGCCGCAAATTCTAACGCTCTATCGGCGAAGCGTCGATCGCAATGCAGTCACACAATTTTTGTGTTCAGTGCTGAAAACGAATCTCTTGATGCACGCCCAGGTGCTGGATGGAGTAGTCGACGGGCTGATAACGCACCTCTTCGATTTAGTCTGCGTATATCCGGACTACGAAAAGCCACAGACGGTCAAGGGCCACTACGAGGTGCTGCGCTGCTTCCATCTGCTGGCAGGCAACTACGCAGCCAAGATCATGGACACGCTGCTCATCCATCTGCGAAACAACAGCGAACGGGAGCGCATCAAATCGCTGCTTATATTGACGCACCTACTGAACAGCTGTGCGGTGCACATTGAAAGCCGCCTCCAGGCGCTCATCGAGTGCCTCAAGCAGCTGATACTCGCCGAGCGCAGCGTCAAGATGAAACTAACGCTGCTCAAGACCATTGTGGCCCTCGCACAGAAATCGCTCATCCGGGACAAGGAGTTTGTATGGTTTGTGGTGCGTCACAGCTGCAAGTACAGCAAAATTAGCCAGGAGCATGGCACACTGGAGGAGCATGCCACCCTGGTGCTTAGTTGCGAGAATACGCTCTTCATGCTCGCCTCCACGGTGGGTACACTTGACGAGCTGCTCAAACGCGAGTTGCTCAACTATTTTCTGCTATTGGACTACACAGACATTTGCGGCAATCTGGCCAAGTGCTTAGCCAGCTTGTTTGCCAAATCGCCGCACATTGAGTACGACATAGCGGACGATGAGGACCAACAATCGTCGCCAGCGGTAGCAGGTGGCGAAACAGCGGCGGGAGCTGCTGAGGATCGCGGTGCGGTGGTTAAGCGCGGCAAAGTGATTGTGCCCAGCGCCGAAAGCATCTATGCACGCTGCTTGGCACTGCTGGGCAATCAGCTGTGCATTAAACGTGCATCCAACATACTCAGCTTTCTTAAGTACTATCATCCGCAGCTAAATCCAGCTCTGGAGGAGCTCTGGAACCGCCGTATCTCCGACATGCTGCTGCACATCAACAAGCCGCAGGCATATCTGCAGCAGCTGCAAGACTTTCTGCTGGAGACCAACGAGTTTTTGGGCACACGCGATGAGCAGTTTCCGCAGCGCTTGGCCATCAAGTTAGGCGACCAAATGTATTTGTATCCAATGCAATTGCCTCACTCAGAGTGGCAGCTGCCGGATCTGAGCGCCGAGCGGGGCATGCTGCTGCAGTCTGTAGCGCTGACACTCTGTCAGGTAACGGATGTCGCCTGCATCCATACCAAGATAGATCTGATTGTGACAACGGCGCGACAGGAGCGTCTTGATAAGCACATTAAGCATGCGGAATACGAGCGACGCATCGAGCCATGCGCTCGGGCACTCGGCTATATAGCTCGACAACACTTGGCCCATGTGATCAAGAAGCTGTCGGAACTGGCGCAAATGGGCGGTCGCAAACATTCAACGGGTTTCTTTAGCAATCTGCACTTTATTAAGGACACGCACAAGGAGCTAGAGAACTACAAGAGCAATCTGCTGGTGGTGAAAGCCTTTGGCCGCATCATGGACGAGGCAGATCCGTTGCAATCGCTGCAGCATCTAGATGATACCATGCTCAACTTCTTAATGATACAACTGGCCGGCCACAAGGATCAGACCATTATGTCGGCCATACTACAAACGCTGCTTAGCATTTGTAATCAGCTAATTGTCACCAAAGAACAACTGCCAGCTCCGCTCAAACATCGCAAGCAAATCATGGAAACTGTCTTCAGTATACCTATTGAATCGCCCTTCCACGACTTGCCGTTGCTGCCCACCATTTTGAAGCTGGGCACAGATTTCATACGCATCGGTGAGTGAGCACAGACTTAATCGAGTAAAGTATTTACTCCATTATTAACTTTGTTATGTCTTTGTAACTGAACTCGTGTATTTTTGGCAGGCGGTAGCGATAGCTCCGAGTGCGTGGACGGCAGTATCATCTTTGAAATAGCTTGCAAAAACTTTTTTGGCTGCGCCAGGCAGTTGAAAATGAAATTTGATTCGCAGGAGGAGGATGAGCACAACAGCTTTCTCGCCAAGCATCTGAACGAATCGCTGCCACAGCTTAATGCACTGGTGCGCGCCATTGTTGAACTGGATCCGTCACCATCAACGCTGGATCTGATCATTGGCATACTGGAGTGCTGGATGCGGGATAAGAACTCGGAGGTGCGCATCTGCGCCAGCCATGTGCTGAATAACACACTCGAGGTATACATTAAGTCCATGAAAATTGGCGGCTGTGAGGCGCCCTCCAAGTTCAACCAGACAGGCCAAATGCTGGGCAAAATTGTGCCCCGTTGCATCGACTCCAATGGCACTGTGCGCCAGGTGTCAGTGGACATACTGCAAAAGACGCTGGAAATTGCCTGCATCTATGAGACTCTGACCATAGCGAGTATTGACAGCAGCGCCGAGTGGCTAAAGGAGATTGAATCCATCAAGGAGCACATCATCACGGATGAGCCCAAGCAGATCTATAATCTGGCTGGCGATATTGCTAAGATTATAGCGCAACGCATTTCCAGTTTTCAGTATCTGCAGTTCTGGTTAGTATGATTTAATATCTTGTCACATAATTGATGATCAATTTTTCGCTCATTATTTATCAGCTTTAGCCTCACCATTTCATTGAACCATAGTCAACTTTCTCATAACAGTAAGAAATGTTACACACACTTCATTACACCAAAATGACGACATCAACATTTTAAATCGCGTGTTCTATCGTTTATTTATTTATTACCCGTTTATGATTTCAAATTCATGAGTTCTTAATGTTACAAATCCAAAAATTGTACTTTTTTATACCCATGCAAAAGGTTTTATAATATTACCATGAAATCATGGTTGAATAGAGAAATAGTCGAGTCTCTGGAAGTTTATTCTACTATTTAGCTCACACTAAAACGAGTTTGTTAAAATACTCCTATAGAAACAATTGGTTGGAAATTGATTTTTTATTTCAAAACATAGAAAGTATTCAAATTTGTGGAGACATGTATGTTATTTGGGATTATAATACCAAACAAAAGCCAGGTTCTAGCTTAGCCTTACGACACAAATAACTCATTCCAGTTTATGGATTCTCCTATTTTCGTTCTATAGCACTTTTAATGCTCTAACTCTAGCTCTTGTAGTTTCCCTTTGCAGAGAAGACTGTCAAATATTGAAAATAAACACTAGAATTGCTCATCTCCCCGCAATTTGATTTGTTTCTTGAAAACTCTTACATAAGTATCAAAGCAGAATTTTGAATCAAGGATTAACTCGAATAGAGAATTTTGAATAATAACAATAAATTAAATTAATTAACTGCTAATAACTTATCTAAAAAAAAAAGGTCGTATGCGCGTGTGTGTCTCTCTCTTTCGTACGCCGTTTACTTTGAGTCAAGCTTCTGGGCCTGGGCTCCTATTCCTCATCTTTTGACGAGCTGCTTCCCGACGCTTGGCCTGCTTCATATCGGCCGAAGGACTCACGACGTAGTAGGGTAGTTCGTAGAGCTTGTGAAATTGGCCATCAACTTCGGCACAGACGCAATGAATTTCCCGCTTCTTCTCCCTCAGGCGTGCGCTGCGGCGCAACTCCCTCACCGGCTTATAGGTAGGCAATTCAATTTGTTCATCCGGCATCTCCTCATCCGCATTGTCAGTGTTCAGTTCCTGGGTTTGGTCATATTGCACTGATGCCTCATCGCTTAAGCGCTTGAAGAAGATTGTGTTCGCAGCAGAGGCAGCCTAAAGGATCCTTGACATATTCTATTTTAATTTTATTTTACTCTTCATTTAAGAATTCTTACCAATTGATAAACAGTGCCAAAAATGTTAAATATTCCGCTCATTTTATACTAGTGTTTGATGTTACTGCTATGAAATCAAATCTCGACTGAGGACTATTTTTTCAGGTGTGCTAGGATGTTGTGCCCGATGGCAGCTAGCTCGGGACGTACTCGATCAAAATTAGGGTATATTATTGAAAGTCATAACACGGAGCGCACTAGACGTTGTCTTTAGTTAATCATTCTGTTCTCAAATGACAAAGGAGTATATTTGTGCAATGTCCCAGGGAATTTCGGCCTGCAAATTCTCTTGCCACGCCACGCCTATAACAATTTTTGGTAGACTCTTAATGAACTCCTCTAGGGATCAAGACAAATCTGTGGCAAAAGATAAAAAAATCGATATTTCCCCGGGTTACAATTTGTAATTCACCTATTTATAGTTACAATAGGCAATATTCGGAAAGACTCTTCCGACCGACTCAACCTGTATTTACACTGAGAACGGGCAACCCGACTGGCAAGAGTATTCTTAATTGACAAATAAAAGTAAAGCATATTTAAGGATCTCAGGATGACAAGCTTAGTCGATATGGCATCGCACATCTACCCATTCGCCTGGGTATCTGCAAACCAATCCCTGTTGAAATTAATATAGGATGCTTCTTTCGCTGGAAGTAATATATGCATCAGATTTGCATAGTCAACATTGTTCGCAAGAATTGCATCTTACAGCTGCCATATTAACGATCGGGCAATCGAGATATTTAAGAAAGCTATACAAAAAGTAAAATATGCTCTACATGAGCCAACAGGCCAAATTGTGGGTTTCAAATCGATTTTTAGACTTGGTAATAAACAACGTAAATCCCATATTTAGTGTCAGAACGAAAGGCTGCTGACCGATATATTTATACGTTTTATATAAATGCTTATAATGCTATCTCTTTCGAGCTAATGAAATCTTCTGGTTGTGTCTCTTACAATCTCATGTCAGGTATCAAAATAAAAATTTGGAAAAAAACAAACCATTAACATCAATCGAATAGTGAATTTTGGAATATGTGAAGGAATAATGAAAATGAACTATTTATAACCGATCTTCAGAAACAAACTGCAAGTGTTGATCTACCGTGCGCCGGATGCTTCGCGTCAGGCTTAGGGGCTGGGAGTCGCCAGCTTGCGCTTTTTGACGAGCTTCTTCGCGACGCATAGCCTGGTGCATATCGTCTTGAGGATCAAAAACGTAATCCGGCAGATCGTAGAGCTTATGTAAACGGCCATTAACTTCCTCACAGACGCAGTGAACTTCCCTTTCCTTATTAAGACTCGAGCTGATATTGATCGGCTCGTCGGACATCTCATCCGCATCATCGGTGGACGCTTCCTGGCTTTCATCCTCTTCAGCAGATGCCTCATCGTCCAAGGGCCCGAATAAGATTGTATTTGCAGCTGAGGCAGCCTAAAGAATATATAGTTTGTTATGGTCCTCTTCTTCTGGATCCTTGGCCATTCCTATTTTAACATTATAATCTTACCAGTTGACAGAAAGTGCCGAAAATGTTGAATATTCCACTCATTTCGTAATAGTCTTTGATGTTACGACTATGAGATAAAATCTCGTCTCAGGATGACAGCTAGTTCCGGGACCGACTTGATCAGAATAAGGAAATATTATTCAAAGTCCTAAGACAAAGTCAACTTTACTTAGTGTTTTTTTTTAATTCATTACCCTTTTTCGAGCTCTTAATTTGATTGACCTGGATTCTATAGAAATAGTTGGTATGCTTATCTAATTGTTTTCAACATTTATTGTTTTTAAAGATACTTTCGAGCAAACTTAATAGCTAATCGTTATGTTGTGCTACCCTATAATTTATTTGACTACTATATCTTATTCTAAAAAATAATAAGTCGTGGTTCCCGGCCCAAAAAACGAGCCAATTTTAGACAGATATAAAGCTACTCAAGCCAAACATCGAGGCATTTTGTTCTAATTGCATAATCGCATAATTTTCATTTTTTGTTGTCTATTTTTATTTTATTATTTTTGCCTAATATACAAATATACGTTATTAAAAGTGGATTCGAACCGGCAACTTCTCGCTTGTAAGTCCGACGCTCAAACACATACGCCTCGCGTTCAGGGCTGCGTTGTTTGGCAATGTTTTATGTAAAATCTTTGATATAGATGTACATATATATCTATACTTTCTTGCATCATTAAAGTATATAGTTTGGGTACCCATATTTAAATGTTATTCTTTTTTTTTTTAGCAAAACTTTGTTGCAGTCTCTGCGCGATCCGGAACAGAGCTCCACCATTGGCGCGAGTGTTGTTCTGAAGTTCTTCATACAGCAGAAGGGCTCAGAGCTGTTCCATGCCATACCCGATCTGGTCAAGGACAGTCTCGTGGCGCTGCAACTGTGCGACGTGCCGCGTGCAAAGTCTGGCGTACTTAAGGCCCTGGTGGCTTTGACCAAGCACCATCCGAAGCTCGTCTGCGCGGAGATGCTGCAACAGCCCCTGCCGTACGATGAGCATCTTGTTGAGTATTGGCATCTGGTCTGCAATGATGCGGAGCTCACCGGCCTCATGCTGGACAACTTTTTGCAGCTGCTCAGCGGCGCCTGCCTGCACGAGCCGCAGGATGCCAGTGGCATGCCGAGCGATCGTCAAAGATTGGCCAGCGTTCAGCCGTTTGCCATATTTTGTGCGCTGCACGAGATGCTGCCCTGCAAGGACATACATGATGTGAGTAGCCAGTGGGCGAGATTCCGGGATTTGTGCATTAATTGGTTGTGGATTTGATTGCAGCAATTGAAGGCGAGATTTGCAGAGATGTTCAGCATGCTGTTGACTTCACTGTCCAGCTATACGAATCTGGCCGCACCCATGCCTGCAGCACCGCCGGCAAGTCCCAGCCAGCCGAATAAGTCGTCTAGCAAGTTTGGATTTGTGCCCAACAAAGAGCTAATCAAACTGAATCCCTGCCAAATAGCACTCGAAACGTTTCAGGCATTCCTCAACAATTTGGAGATGGAGCAAATTGCCACCGTGCTGACGGTTAATACCCAACTGGCTGCCAGCACGGACTGGCACAGTTACATTGAGCTATTGACCCCGATGGCCATTGGCCTGGCCAATCAGCTTCAGCTAACCAGCCCTGGCATGCGCCAGCTGGTAAATGCTCTGAGCAAATATGTTGCCTCGCCCCATGATGGCCAGCGCGTTGCAGCCGTTGGGCTATACTCACGCCTTGTGCCGCTCAAGCCGTGCGGCGAACTGGCCAGCTGCCTAATGCTACATCTGGGTGCCGCTCTAAGCGATCCCAATGCGGTTGTGCGTGGCCTCAGTCTGCAGGGCATGGGCTATGTGGGCCAGCTGGGCGAGCACGAGTCACCGCGCTATTCGGAGATGGCAATACAAGCTCTGCTCAAGGGCGTCGACGATACTGTTGGTGAATGTCTCATCAATATACCGCTGGAGAGCATGCGCGGACTCTCTCGCATTTTACAGGCGTTGCCCAGTGATCGAGTCGAGCCCTTTCATGTATCGCTGGCCATACGCATACGTCCCTTCTTTGGCAGCTATTCGATGGAAATGCGCGAGGCGGCAATTATACTATTTGGGGATTTGTGCGAATCAAAACATGATGACGGCAGCAGTTCGCCAACCTCATCGATGGAGGCACTACGCGAGCAGCTCTTTGCCAATCTATTTCCGCTGCTGCTCCACCTGAGCGAGAGCGAGCCGGCCATTGCCTCCGCTTGCAAAGGCACCCTTCGACGTGTCTGCCGCTTGCTGCGCGCCGTGCGCGTCAATGAGATTGCCCAGCAGCAGCTCGTTAGCGACGCGGATCAGCAACGTCCACTTCACTACAGCAACTTTGTCGTAGATTTTGTCAAAGTGATCGTATGTATGAGAAGATATTTGCGATACTCTAAACCATTCACCTTTCAACTACTAACAGGCACTGGAACTGACCGAACACATCCAGGACTTTATAGACTCGTGCATGCCCAAGCTGCGTAGCCAGTGGCCGGAAGTGCGCGGCAGTGCGGCCATTGTAATCGGTAGGTGTCCATCCCAATGTTGACAGTGGACGAAGTCTATAAATATATTTACCCGTAGGCATACTGCACAATTTCCTTAGCGAGCGGAATGCACAAACCGAGTCTGTGGCTAGCAAGATTGCAGTGCTGCTCAAGGATGAGCAGGTGACGGTGCGCGTGCGTGCTGCCCAGGCGCTGGGCTATTTCTATGGAGACATTTAGAATGGGGACATCTAATGCGTCTTCAGGCACTGGGACCAATATAAACGCAACTCTGATCTGTACTAAGTATAAACAAACACATCCACACCAGCAGTCGTATTTTATAATACACATTAAATTTAGTATTTCTCCAAGTGTGATCCTACATGCGCTTAGCATGGACGTCTAACCTTTATGTATCCTTATTATGTTTGATAATCATTTGAATGTTTGTTTTGTTATTCGTATATGTATGTGTAAGCATATATATATGCGTATATTACATATATGGAAATCGTTATATTTCTGTTTGGCATATTTCTTGTATATAATATATATATTTATATAAGTTATGATTGTTATCCCAGTACATTTGAAAACGCGACACATTTGGTCTTGTGCACGACCATAACATAGCCGAAGACAATACCTTAGACTTGTTTCTCAATAGATCTTAATTAGCGCACGAGCTTCAGCTTCAGCTTTGTGTCAATTATTTGTACTTTTCAGTAACAAAAACATTTAGCATCTAAGTCTAACTCTTAGCACAAGATCAAATGCTCCTCTGTCAGCGAGCTGTTATTTTAATTCCAACATGTTAATTGTGTACCTTTATTAACGCTTATAAAAACCAAATACATAAAAATAAATAAATCCTATTCACATAGAATCGTTTAATCTAAAGCATAGAACTGAATGCGACCAGTTGACCAGCCAATGGTCAGTACCGAGCGATCGTTGTCCTTGTTCAATGGCTGAAAGCAAACGAAGCTGGGATACTCGGCCGTCGTTTGGCCATTTAAATAGTAACCGCCCGATATTTGCAAATCGTACTTCTGTATGTATGTGCGGAAAATGGCTATGGAATTGGTTGACTTGAAGGTGATCACCAGATATTTGCCCTGCGGATCCCATACCAACTGCTGGACAGTGCCTCCAATGAGCGTGTGCTTGCTGCTATCCAAGGTGCACGCATTTAGATCGGCAACAGGCAGCACTTCCTTATCATCGGATTTCGCTGTAGCAAGGCAAATGGGAATCAGTTTATGAAACATTAACGATACTACGAGCTTTGAATACTACAAAGCATGTAGGCAGCATTATACAGACGATCTGGATGCTTGAGCAGTCGCCTACCTGTTGCATGCCAACCTAACTAGTTTTGGGTTTGCTCTTGGGCAAGCTGCGAGGCGTGTGCTTGCATTAACTTAGCAGACACGCACTATACCAGCAGTGCCCGCATTGGTTAATTGATTAAGTCTGGACCGAGCACTTACATGACTGGAGAAGCAGCTGAACGAATTGAAGACGATATAATATTGGCTCAGCAGTGCTCGCAAATAGCAGAAAGCGACCGTAGGGTGACCAGCAGGCGGCTTGAACGTTGCCGCCGTCGCATACCCAGCGATCTGAGGTCCAGCGATCGTGACATTTCCACACGCGAAAAACGCGATCCACAGTTGCCGCAAAGATCCACTCATTGCACGGTGACCAGCTGAGCAGAGAACCTGGTGGACCCAGACGTTTCAGCGGCTTTAACTTTTTACTGTCAGGATGCCAAATGAGTATGGCGCGATCACCAATGGAAGCGGTGGCCAGCAAGGTGCCGTCCTTGTTCCACTGCAGCGAGCTGATGGGTAGATTGTCCGGACTGAAAATACAAATAAAAGCTGAGTGATGGCACGCATCAGCTGGAGATTTACGCACTGTTTCAATGTGTGACTGGGATTGATGGTGCGACCCAGATGCAGGTTGTTGTCAATTATCCAAAAACACAAGCCCTGACGGCAGCCAACCACAAGCTCAAAGGCACACAACGGCCGCCAGGCCATGCATGTTATTTGGGTTTGTGTTGGGCTTTTTAGCACGGGGCCCATGCCGGCATTATTATCTGTAATTTTATTGTAAACACGCACCACGTCGTCCACGCCGGCAATGGCCAGTTTGAAGAGATGCACGTGCCAAGCGATGTAGCGAACAGAGCTGTTTACCCAATCTCTGCAAATATATAAGAATAAGTCTTATAGTATCATGTATATATACTATATAGAGAACAGAGATCGCACCTGGTCTCAGCATATTGGGCAATGCGCTCAGCGCTCAGCTGCTGTGTGTGAGGAAATACCTTTAATTTAAATCTGCTATAGAGGTCCAGCACATACGCAATATAATCGGCTGTTTTGCTTATAAGAGGCGCTTGTTCGCGCGTTTTTTCGCTACGCGCCTCCGCGAGCGACTCCCAAAAGCCGCCATCGAAGAATGTGCGCGAAATGCGCTTCGGCACGCTTTCGCTCTCGACCGGTATGAAGCTGTGGCCCACTGAAAAGCGGTGAGCTGATGGATTGAGCAGCTCGTTCTTTAGATTAATTGTTGGATATTGCTCCAACTCTGGTATATAGTTGTGGCGATGCCCCACGCCCGTTGGTGAGGACAATGGAGGTATTTGCTTTAGGTTGCTTAAAGATGCCATTTAAATTTATTGTGCTTGTTGAGCTTAGAGCTGTGCGACATTTATGTACTAGTTACTTGTCACGAATATGGCAAATAAGTCGCAGCTCTGCCAACCTATCAAAAACCTTCATCGAAATTAACAGTTATTAATAATGAAATTAAAATGAATCTTCTATATAATAAATACAGTAGTGGCAAGAATATTATGCCGATGATAGTTTGTAAAAGCAGAGCAAACATTTTAAATTTCATTCTTAAGCGATGGCGTGTTTCGATTAATCGTACGTAAATCACGACCGCATATTAAATATCGTTTAAATACTAATACTTCTTTTTAAATATTTATGAGTAGCAGTCACTGTAACTTGTATTATTCAAGTTAAAGTTTAAATCCAAGTAGGCTCCTTTAGCATGCGTTCGACTCCCGTCGGTTTTTCTGATTATGAACCAAAATTGACAGCCACCTAACTTTCTGTAAAGCAAAGATTCGAATGATTTTACAATAGAATTGAATCAACATTTTGGGAACCACTGCATACAGTTCAGTTCAGAACCTGCTAGCATCCCTCGTTTTTTCTTAATTGTTTGGCAGCAAACAAATTCAAACGAGCTCTTTGCCTTTATTATTATTAACAAATAGTATCCAGTTAGGCGCTTTACCGTTTTAGTTTTGTTTTTGAGTTGCCATTTTTAGCATGTGAATTGAGACATTCGATAGGAAAGCACAAGTGAAGTCTGTGCAGCTGTGTTATCCGCTCATTCGTCCAGCAGTTGTTGTTTTTCACCTCGCCGCCAATTTTGGCACAAACACAAACGCGCGCGCCTCCCATAAATTTGGCGAACGATTTTATATATACTATAAATTGGCAAACGAAGTACTTTAGCAAAACAACAACAACAAAATGTCTAACTCGAATAACAACACAGGTAGCAAAAATATTGGGTATGAATTTAAAAGCCTTATATCGAAACTCAGGGAGGGCGTACACCCCAAGGACTCGCAGGAATTATTAGGTAAAATACGCAGTTCTTGCACTTGCTGTGTTTTCTTATATGTTATTTTTTACTTTCCAGATCGAATGGTGCCGCTTGCCGTGCAGTATATTAACAAGTGCCCCGATATATTTGATAGTCCACCGCCACTGACCGAGGATGATTGCTTAGACAAGATTATGACTATATTGGAGTCGAACCCGATGTGGGGTGAGGAAGATAAGCCTGGATCGGTCTTCCACGAGCATTACGTTGTTGCCTCCTGTGAGGTGAGTGTGACTGTAATTGGATGACGCACCAAATACTCTTACTCATGCTGTTGCAGATTGAAGATCAGCGTATGCGGGACCTTCTATCGAATCTTATATTGTTTAGCCTGGAAACTGATGCACAGTACGTCCCCTTGAACGAAATTGGGCAGCAACCTAGTCGACGTTCCAGATCGTCAATTAAAGTGGACAACACGAACAGGAGCTCGTGCAGCAGCATCCTCCAATCTAATGGAATAGGCTTAAATGGCAATAAAAATGGGATGTCAGTAAAGCCCTGCAGCTACGATCCGACACAGACGAGCGTGGGTCTAGGCAACCTACCTTTGCCCAACTACATCCTGGATACAACAAAGCAAAATAACGTCAATACCGATCATGATGTTGTGCAGAACGCAATATATTCCTTTATGGGCGTACAGGGAAAGTATCTTAAGAAGGATGTTATTACGGGGCGCTTCAAGCTTGATCCGCTTACCATGAAGACCATCTCACCAGTGCAGTGTGGTATGCTATTGCGGCTGTCCGAGCTAGGTTATTATCATGATCGGGTGTCCAAATTTTCGAATACAATGACCGGCTACAATGCCATGGGCAGTATGGGCCAGGCATTCATGGCGAAGCTGAAACTGGAGATGAGCGAATTTCATGGGCAGGTGGCACTCTTGCAGGATCAGCTCAACGCATTTCGTCAGACGCAGATGCGAGACTTCGTCGATCGCGATCAGAGCTGGTTGGACAGACAACGCGAGCAGCTGACGCTAATGAAGCTGCTTTGCTGGTACATGGAGCCACTGCGGCGCATGCAATGGCTAACAAAAATCGCAGATGCCTGCCAGCTAAAGAAGGGCGGTGACCTGGCCTCCGTGCTATATAAATTTCTAAACAATGGTGATCCCATGATCAATAAACTGGCCAATGACCTGTTGACCGTGAGCTGTGGACCATTGGTACGCATGATCTCAAAATGGATGCTCGAGGGTGGCATCGAGGATAGCCACGGGGAATTCTTTGTTGAATCGCTTGACGAGGTCGGCGCTGATCGACTCTGGCACGATAAGTTTCGGTTGCGGCACAGCATGCTACCCAAATTTATCACACTTGAACTGGCCGACAAGATACTTAAAACCGGCAAAAGCATTAACTTCTTGCGTGAAATATGCAAAATGGAGGAAGCTGTAAAGGGCCGTAAGGAGCTTAAGTACGTTATTGACAATCATGGTAAGCCGACATCGATAAAAATATTCATTATTCATTATATGGCAGCATTGGAACAATTTTTCTCTAACCATTCACTTTTTTCAGTTTCCCACATCTTTTCGTACGTGCCAGACACAACCTGGCATGCGGCCATTGAGACTTGCTATTCGCAAACTTCTAAGCATGTGCTGGACATTATGGTTGGACCACACAAGCTGTTGGATCATCTGCAAGGGATGCGTCGCTATCTATTGCTTGGCCAAGGCGACTTTGTCAGCATTTTCATCGAGAACATGAAGTGCGTTCAAGAACAAATTCAAAATATGACCTGCTTTTCAGTTTGTTTGCTTGTTTTGTGGCTTCCGCAGGGATGAGCTGGAGAAAATTGGCACCGACATTTACTCACACGATCTATCCGCAATGCTTGATGCCGCCCTGCGCTGCACCAATGCCCAGTATGATGATCCAGATATACTTAATCATTTGGATGTGGTGGTTAAGACGCCATATGCCGGTGACTGCGGCTGGGATGTCATCTCATTGCAATACACGGTCCGTGGACCGTTGGCCACCATGCTGGAACCCGCAATGCCCACATACAAGGCGCTATTCAAGCCACTCTGGCGCATCAAGCACATGGAATTCGTATTGTCCACAAAAATTTGGAAGGTACAAATGGGCAACGCCAAGGTGAGTTAATAAATATTTAAAATCTCTACTTATATGTATGCGCTGCATACCGAATAGCTGGTTATAGAAACCAACAGCCGGGGGTGAATGAAGAGACCAAAAATATTCCACGCGAACCTACTAACCAAATTCGATATTTCTTGCTCTTGCGAGCTCCGGACACCCAACAAGCCCGATATAAAAATCGATTCTAATAGATTTTATGGAAACAGGCGAGTCATCGACTATTTTTTAAATCAAACTTGGTCATTTACTGTAAATGAAGGAGCTACGCTCCAAAGTCTCTAGTTCATAGTTTATGGGGACAGATTATATCGCTCATTTACTTAAAGACTGTCATAAACAAAAACGCGACTTTTGATGTAATGATGCATTATTTAATTATTTGTTATTTTTGCTTCAAGCTGCTACTCACTGGAATCATTAAACGCGTTTTATTTATTTTATTGCGAAATTGTGCGTTTTGAGTTATGACCATCTTCGTTTAAATGAGCGTTATATACTTTATGGGAAGGACGTCTACTTCTAAAATGTTTATCCATTTTCAACGGGTACAGGCTATACAAAGTAAGAAACTATTCATTGTATTGGACGCAAAGTTTTGATAGTGTCAGACGGGCAAGATATCCCAGTTGCCAAATTCCAACTGGCCCCTCTATAGGAAATGGAGAATTCTGTTTTTCTTTAATGGATAAGATTAGCGCATACCTTGGCACGTAATCTAATCCATGGTACTGAAACAAACGCTTAACAATAGTCGACTTCCCGTTGCACATTTGCTATTGCCGAACCATGATAAGGGGCTAGGCTATCGATATCTGGGTATCAGGGTATCAGGGCGCAGGTTTAAAGTACACGTACTCGCCAGGTACTTTGTTCTTGGTATATAATTAGATTGAATGCAATAATAAATCGAGCATAAATTCCTTCTAGGCTTATGTATTATTTTCTAATTACACATAGTATTAACATACAAAAAAAATCACACATACACATTGTGCAAACACGGCGAAAATATCGCAATTACGATGATGCAAAGTAAAACAACAAAAAATGCGATACAAACTGGGCATACATATGTGGGATATATGTATGTACGTCGGTGTGCGTTAGATTGTGAAATCACCAAAATGTCTGTTTACAACTTGGCGTCCGTCTTGAGCAGAGGTGCCAGCTTCTGCGTCAGCATGATGTTGCCGGCAATCTTCAATTTGCCCTTCATGAAGGCAGCCTGGGGATTCAGCTTGCCCAAGGCGATGTCGACCATGTCCTCATCGGCAACCGTTAATGTGGTGTCCACCTTGACGCCCTGGGCGGGTCCCTCATACGCCTTGGCGCTCTTGCAGTCGAGGGCTGTTAATTAATTTAATCAATTAGGTCGGCGTTATTATCTAAACAGCAGCTGGTGCCGAAGTACGCGACTGTTAACTGCACTTTGAACTTTACACGGTTAATTATCGTTTGCGTCGCGTGTGTAATTAGAAGTTCGCACATTTACTTACTCCATTCCTTGGCTACTTTGCCATCCTTGGTGATTTTATAGAGGAACACGCCGTTAATGGCCTTGGCCTTGGCGGCATTATCCTTCAAGCCTTCGATAATTTTCTGGAAAACGGCGTCCGATTGCAGCGACATTTTAATTGTTTCTGTTGAATTGTTGGAACTGCGATTTAATGAAACCAAAAAAAAAAGAAACAAATTAGTGTTTCATTAAAAATTGTGCAATATATGATTAACCCGCGTCAAATGCTTACACCTAAAATGCGAAACGTCAAATAATGAGCAAGCAGCGGCAATCGTTGATATTTATGTGCTTTTTTTCTCTAATTCCGCTTTGCTCTGACACTCGACTGCTGAGCTCTCGTTCATTTTTTGACACACACGCACACACACAAAACAAATACTGACCAATAAAAAAAAATCGATAGTCTGTTGGAGTTTGCACTCTCTCTCTCTCTCTCTCGCTCGTTACCGGTCTGTTAACTAACATGAGCAGCTGTTGGCGCTCGTACTCGCACTGTGTGCTGTACAAAGTGCGCCAACGATTTGAAGATCATAAATTCTCAATGGGTATAACGATTAGTTTTAGATTATGGATTACGCCCTGCTAGCCCTACCATTTCTTTTCAATATAGAAAATATGACTACGTACGGATGTATATGTTTAAATACATCAGCAATTTGTTGGTACAAATGTATAAACACATTTATTTTTATCAGCATGTACTTCATTAGGTACACATTATATATATTATGTACATGTCAATATTAAATTTAGCTTAATGCTTATGCCTGCAATGCGTTCTCAAACTTTTCTGGGTCCAGTCCGGCCTGCTTCATCTGGACGGCTATGGAGAACAGGTAGTCATAGCACTCCGACCTGTAAGCATTCAGACAATCGCACATTTCCTTAATAATTACATATAGGTAGTTACTTACATAGTCTTAGCCTTTTCCCATGTTTGACCCCAAACATAGACGCCGTGGCGACGTACGAGAACAGCTGAACATCCGGGATATTCCATCATGGCCGCATACATGCTGTCGGCCAGGTCCCGTTCGAAGGGCGTGTTCTCAATGATGGGCACAACCAACTGCTCGTCGTACCGCAGATAGCGCTTATCAGATTCATCATAGACGCCCTACGATAGATCAAATTAGCATATTACTGCCTTCTGCATAGGACTCGTACCTTTATCATTTCCAGATGTGTGCAACGAAACGTTTTTCCCGGCCAAAGCAATGTTGCCATTACGGCATGCTGGGAATGCGTGTGAATGACTGCGCCGGCATTACGATGTCTGTATGCCAGCATAAAGAGCGGGGTGCACTGACTCTTGCTCAGGCCCTTGATCTCTGGTGGTAATTGCAAATCCTTGCCATCTATGTCTTGCACAAACAGGTCTTCCGGTTGCATACGCTCCTTTTGTACCCCCGAAGGCGCGATATAGATTTCATTGCTGTTTCAAAAGTCATTCAGGGTTATTTTCATGGGGACAACATTCGTGATGCACTTGCTTGTATTTAATGCTCATGCCGCCACCAGTCCCGGTTACCCAGCCCAGGTGATAGAATTGCCTACATAGCGACGGTATCAAGTTGCGCGGATGCTCCCCAGGTAAATCCTTAAAAATTGACAATGCCATTATGGAGTTGTGCGACTGATAAGACAGCAAATGCTCGGTCACGCAGTCACGTATGTAAACAATGATAAGTGCGATTGTTAGTTTCACACTCACTCTGCACGCTGTTAATATTATCGATATATATAAATATATCGATAGCCGCCGTATAGTTTAAATCCGTGTTTTACTGTTTTTCTATGTATGGTTAATGGTTAATGGGTATATTTATATATTTTCAGGCATTGCGTTCGATGGGCAGTGAGATTGCCAAAGCCACCTACCGATTGCATCTGTTCACGTCGGAAATCATGCACTTTGTTCATCAAATGCAGTACTATGTACTCTTCGAAGTGATCGAGTGCAACTGGGTGGAACTGCAGAAACGCATGCAGCAGGCCAAGGCTTTGGATGACATTCTCGACGCGCACTCCAAGTTTTTGCACGCGATCAGCATTGGATGCTTTGTGAACACGTCAACGAACATGGAAAGCCATCTTGAGGTGGTTTATGAGAATATCATTTCGCTGGAAAATTGGCAGGCCAACTTTTATCAAGACTGCTTCGCTGAATTGGAAGCACGTCAGCAAATGGCTAAAACAATCGCCGATTCCGAACAGGCCGGACGTTATGGTCTGACCACTGTACAAAAAATGGAACGCGATCAGGAGCGCAAGATATTCGAGCAGAAGCTTATAACCTCCTGTCGGACGCTTGAAGGATTTGCCGTGTCCTATGGGAAAGCAGTAGGTGGCTTTCTGCTGGCGCTTAACTCCAGCGACGATCCCAATCTTCAACTGTTTGGCACCCGTCTGGACTTCAATGAATATTATAAAAAGCGGGATACAAATCTCAGCAAACCGTTAACCTTCGAGCATTGGCGTTTGAGCAATGTGTTTGGCACCTCCAAAAGCCACATGGGAGGTCGCTACAGCATGCATCCGCAAACACCATCACAGTTTGCAAACCATGGTCACACTCAATTACTGTCCTGGGACTAACGGTTAACTCAGGCGGAAGATTGTGATACTCACAATCAGGAAGCGCTTTATCCCAGTGCCAACAACAATGACAACAACGACGACAACAACAATAGCCGAGTAAAAGACAACAGTTCTGATCGAGTTGATTTGGCTCGACGCCCACTTTTAAAATACAGGGCTGCAAATTGTTGCGATGTCATGTAAATTGCATCGTGCTTTTATTTCGTCATCATTAGGAAAGATAAACAAAAGTATTTAGCTTAAAAGGCCATTACCGCACGCGAGCTACCTGCATATTGTTGTTACAAGACAAGCGTTTTTAAATGTATCATAATTGCCAAAATATCCCCAGGAAAGTATTCTATTCTACTCACACCTCTCCGAACCAGAAGTAAGAAGCAAAGAACATGCACAGTTAAAACGAAACGTTTTTTTTTTTCGCCACAAAAAGAAATGATTGTAGCAGAAAGCGTTGTTATCAAATGAAAGAAAATACACTCGAACACAGCACATTGCGTTGTTAGCCGTGCCAAAGTATTAGAAAATTCGAAATTCTCTTGTATTAAATTATAACATTCTGCGGCCATTTCAGCACGTTTATTCTACACATCAAACGAACTCCTTCATCAAATCAATTAATCAATCATATTAAAGACTTGCATTTGTCTGTTATATATATCATATAAATTGTTAATGCTATAACAATTTGTTAATTAACTATGTAAAATTTTAAAATCGTTTTAAAGCAATTTTAGTGAAATGTCAAATAAAATGTTTTCATTTATAATTCGAATAATGATAGAAACGATTTTACATGTTAATATATTAAAAGCAACTCCACAAGTTCTAAATAAATGGTTATCTATTTTAAATGAAATATGCCTTCCTTTTTCAACTGGTAAAAATTTTGAAATGTGCTTTTAGCTTGGTGGGAAGAAAAGTTTTGTCTAACCAGTCCAAATATGCCCGATGTTTTGCACGTTATTAAGTTGAAATAGTCTATCGATATAATGTAGAAATCGGAATATTCTTATCGATGGTTTATGCAATATCGGCTGCAATATTTTTTTGTCGGGCGATAAACAAATAGCACAACAAACTTGTAAAAGAGCGACAAAAAAAATCAATTGCAAAAAATAACACTGGAATCCAAGCTAAGCCACATCGCTTATCGGCAACAATTAAAAGCTGAAATCGGTTAAGCGCATACAAGTTCAGCAGCTTATCAAAGCGAAAGGCGTCAACAGTTTGGATTCGCAGTTTGGAGTGCTATTCGCGTTGGCAGTGATTTTTGCAAGTGCAAAGCAAAAGAACAAACGAAAAGAGAAAATCTGACGCTGCCGGCGCTGGCATTACCAATACATATTTAAATTATTTTCTTTTTGTTGTTGCTGCTGTGGCTGTCGAGTTGTTATATTAAAATTTCAAGCAACCATATTGCTGCTCTGGAGGCGAAAACAATAGGAACAACAAAAACAACGAGAGCAACAAAAGCAGCGCACGCATCAACTGCGACGTCGACGTCGACGAAATGGCGTTAAAAAAAGTGAAGGGAAATTTCGAGCGCATGTTTGATAAAAACTTGACAGACCTTGTGCGCGGCATACGAAATAACAAGGATAATGAGGCAAGTGCTACATCGCCAAATATATTTTGTTGTTGTTGTTCCTGTCGGCCAAAAGAACTTGTTAATTAGCTGTCAAACTTCATTTGCATTGGCGTGGGCGTGTGTGTGTGTGCTGTCAGCATCTGCTAGCCCCGCAAGGCTCAAAAGCTTGACTCAATTAGCGGCAGTTTGTAGCGTCTCGCTCTCTTTGTCTCTCTATTAATGTCTTTCAGCTCATTTCCCTGATGTGCCACCTCACACACAGATACAAGCACAAGCACACGCACACCCACAGACCCGCAACAGCGAATGAAAACGCGCTGGCTGTGCAAAGCCGAACTTTCTTATTACCTTTAAGCTTGCGTTTCCTTATCAAATCAAAAGCATTTGCTCTCATGACCTCACAGGAGATCTGCAGCTGGTGACGCTAACATTTTATAAAATATATACAAAAAATTGAATATCTGGCTGTCGTGGGGATTGGCTTGTATACATATATAAGCTGCCCAGACCCGCCTCCTTTTGCTGATTATCAAGCTCATTATTCAGAATCTCCACAGCCCCACCAATTTGAACTTTTCTGTTGATCTAGCAACAAACGCTGCGTTATGCGCAATCTGCATACCAACTGAAACTGTATGAATGTCAACTGATAGCAACAGACAGCCCCCTCCCCGTACTTGACCACAGACACGAACTGTGATGACCCAACTGAATCATTTGACTCTGGTATTTTTTTTTTTATATATGATGTTAATTTATAACTTTTGCTTCGACTCGTCTATCACATGGGTCATGCAGAGTGGCCTCAGCGTGATTGGACATGCTTTGAATTTTTTTTGCAATCTCCATGCACACACACACATATATACACAAAGACCTGCACATGCCAATTTAAGAGCTATTTGGTTTTTGTAATTGACCTTTTTTTCTTATATACTCCACAGGCCAAATACATATCGCAGTGCATTGAGGAAATCAAACAGGAGCTGCGTCAGGACAATATCAGCGTCAAGTGCAATGCAGTGGCCAAGCTGACCTATGTAAGTCCACCCTCGATCCACGCGGAGGCAGCTCCAGCCAACGGCAACAACTGTGAGAGATTGAAGAGAGCTTTTGAGCGTAAACATAGAAAAACCCCCTTAATGGGATTCATTGGGAGCTAAAGTTCGAAATAGAAGTTAAGATAACCACCTAATGTGGTTGTATCCATAAATCACTTAAATGTAACCGTATTAGTTTCTTGGTATACGTTTAATTATTTCTACATATAAGATTTCACTTTTTGAAAATGTTCGCACAGCAATTCCAGCCAATGAAAAAAGCTGATACATCAAATCCAGTCCCTCTCTCTGGACAATTCAGAATTAGCTCTTTTTGCCCTTGCGCCAGATGTGATCAAAGGCTTGACGAACATCGAGGAATACCACAGGACAGCTTCCCTTCTCTCGAAGGTAGCTACCATATGGTTGGTGACTTTATTGAGTTCTTTAGGAATATTATCTAAATTCAAATGGCAAAGTCAATGCTAATTATGATCAGCAAACGATAGCAGTTTTGAATGATAAATAGGCTTCTTTTTCCTAAGCTTGGCAGGAAATTAATATAATTGACTGAAAATCAATGTGTTGGGAGGTTTTGTGATTTAGGTATTGTATTGATTTGCTTTTATTAATAGATACAAATGCTCGGATATGACATCTCGTGGGCAGGCTTCAATATAATTGAGGTGATGAGTTCCTCGCGCTTTACATGCAAGCGAATCGGTTACCTGGCCGCCAGTCAATGCTTTCATCCGGACAGCGAGGTAAGCACCCGTTAATTCGAAAACGTATTAAATCGATCTAATCAAATTGAATTCGATCGAATTGCAGCTACTCATGCTAACCACGAATATGATACGCAAGGACCTCAACTCACAGAATCAATACGATGCCGGCGTGGCGCTGAGCGGTCTTAGTTGTTTTATATCGCCAGATTTATCGCGGGATCTGGCCAATGATATTATGACACTGGTGCGTGCCGCTATATTTGTATGTTCAAGCTGACCGATTTTACTGTATTTCCTCGTTACCTCGCACAGATGAGCTCGACAAAACCATACCTGCGCATGAAGGCTGTGCTGATGATGTACAAGGTATTCTTGCGCTATCCTGAAGCATTGCGACCTGCATTTCCCAAACTGAAAGAGAAGCTCGAGGATCCGGATCCAGGTGTGCCGTTGACAAATACATAGGTCGAATATTAGTTAATAATAATTGAATTCTTAGGTGTACAATCGGCTGCTGTTAATGTCATTTGTGAGCTGGCGCGCAAGAATCCAAAAAACTATCTACCTTTGGCGCCTGTGTTTTTCAAACTGATGACCACGTCGACAAATAATTGGATGCTAATTAAAATAATAAAACTGGTGAGTCTTTGCAGTGCCGTGTTACTTAATGAGTTTCCTTTTTGGTTTTCTTTTTTTTTCCTTTATAAATTTATTGTGTTCAAAAAATAAAAACCTTTTTTTGCTGTACAATAATATGAATACGAACTGAATATTTGTCTATCAAGTTAATTAACACAACTCCTACTCCTCCACTTCCCTTACCTGCCCAACCAAAAACGAATATTAAAAAAAAAAAAAAATTATACAAAAAAACAAAAAACAGTTCGCGAGCCTCACAACTATTGAACCGGCGCTGGGACGCAAATTGACTCAGCCCCTAATTGAAATTATTTCCAGGTTTTTATCGGCGCGCTTTTATTTATTGAAGCAAGCAGCCATATTAAGAAAATTATTTATTTTTTATTTAAAAAAAAAAAAAATAAAATAAACAGCACGCGCTTTTGTTTTAATTTCTTTAAGCATTTCTCTTGAACGATTGAGTTGTAATTCTTGTTTTTTCTTATTTGTGCAACTGAAAGTTGTTCTTTACGTTAATTTTCGTTAGATTTTTCACCGTTTACATATATTCACATATATTCACACTCACAATACAATTTGTACACGATTTGAGCCCATTAATTTGGACAATTTGTTGTATTTAAATGCAAGAAATACACTTCAAAATTCTATATCAACTGTAAATGTTGTTATCGAACATTTGATATTTTGTTCATGTGCACTCACATATACATATGTATGTGTTTATCCTGCTGCTATCCTGCTAAAAGAAGGTTGTTTTCGAAATGCTACTCAACTGTTAACATAACCAATTAAAAGTGTTTGAAATCATGTAAAAAGAACATTATCCCAACCATTTTAGAGATAGTTAAATAAATATAAAAAAAAAAACAATTAAGCTTTAAAGTTTAATTTTTGGCGTTGAATATGTTGAAAGTGGTATTTAAAAAGTTAAATTAAATGTTATACTCCTCTTTGGCTCATATATAAATCAGATGTATCTGTTGGCCAGACCTTTCTTCATTTTTTTTAAGCGGAAACACATATATGTATATGTATGACTAAAACACAGAAGGAACACGCACTCACAAGCCCTCACCGTATGCATACGAGTACATAAATATGGTTATTTTACGCTATTTTTTTTAAATTTGTATACAAACATATACGTACGTATGTATTTGTTATTCGTTTTACTTTGCCCGTTCGAATTCGAAAATTCCGAGCTAAGAGATGTCCCTGAAAGTCGAAGAAGCCAACTCTAGTCTAGCTACATGCCGTACATGTATATATCTATGTATGTAGTATATATATATTTATGTATGTACATAGATGTATGTATGTACATATGTATGTACGCTACAGTAACAGCGTAAAGTTCAATTAAATTTTAATTCAAAATTGCGTTCATCTGTTATTTTCTATTTCTATATTATTTGACTCT